ATGAATTGTCGGTCTCCCCTTTTTAGTTGGACGAAGTACTTATGGACCATCTCTTGTCTGATATGGACAAACGTTCAGCTCGTGTGGATGATTAGGGAGCATTTGAAAGATGCGGTGGCCTCAAGCAGCGGCATTTCCTTGGCCTGCAATCGGTCGGTTGAAGAGATTAAGTAAAATGCTAAAGAGGAAATGTCATCATCTCCTTGTGGATTTCGATCTGTCTCATTTTGATTTTCCGAGAGATGAATTATCATCGTTGGTTCTTACTCGAATTACATTCAGATGAACTGTCACTTCAATCGTTTCCATCACCACCAGAGTCATTTAATTGATGAAATGTTCATGATCTGAGAATTTCAATCACAAAAATTAAATAGAAACAATGTGATTGATTAAATATCATATTCGAAAAGAATTTATTGATTATTTAAATCGGCATAGAATTGGACTCAAGTTTCCTTTATAAATTTTTCTTTTATTCTTTCAAGTCAATTCTTTGACCTCGAGATTGAGTTTTGAGCTTTTTCTTTAAGTTTAAACAAACAATTTGTTTAAATGTTGCCTTGGATTGTTGTAAAATATTCTTTGATCAATTAATTTTATAAACTCGATTAGATTTGGATTTCATTATCAATATTAATAATAATAGTTCATTATACAAATTTTATTATTTTGCTTTCGAGTTAAATTTGCCCGTATGATCAATTTAGGCTCGGCCTGAGAGATGATGATTTCAAGTGGAAAGTTTGTGCGAGTAAAGGAATAGTAGATTGTGTTATATAAAAATCGATGAGCAGTTAAATGTGATTACATGAATGAATTAAAATAAGTCTCATCGTGTAAACAAATAGATTTCATTTAACTTTACTTATCGAGTGGGTTGTTAACTTTATCGCATGCACTTCCTTAAATCCTGTACAGAGCTACTTTGATGTTCCTCACACACGCGTTGGTGTTTTAATTAGACATCGTCATCGTCATCATTTTCAGTCCATTCTTCATCACTTGTATCTGAACCGCTCAGTTTACGTTTTTTACTTGTTTCATATTCTTCCTCCTCTTCGTCTGATGTAAACTCCTTGTAACTGACACGTTTTCTAGCTGCGGTTCTAGTTCGAGATCGTCCACCAGCTTCATATTCACTGTCATCAGAATCAACGACAAAATCGTCTCGTCGATATCCTCCTTTTTTACTTCCTCTGACACGTCTACCTTTAGATTTTTTTGATATTCTAAACTTTTTCCAAGAGCCGTTACTTTCTTCTTCTTCTTCGTCTAAAGATTCTTCCAAAGTTTCTTCCGACGCATCTTCTACTTCGGTATCAGATCCACCTTTGAAAGATTCGTCCGAATCGTCCTCTGAAGGAGCTTCCAGGTCGTTTAAACGTCGTTTTTTCGCTTGTCTTCTTACTTTTTTTCGCTTCTGAGGCTCAAAGTCAGAATCTTCATCAACCACCTCTTCTTCCTTTTCTTCTTCATTGTTAACTGGTTCTGCTTTCTCATCCACTTCAGGTTGCACGAGATCTTCTGATTTTGAGTCTACTTCATTTTCGATATTAAATTGTTCTGGTTCCATTTCGTTCTCCTTTTCTTCAGCTTCTTGTTGTTTCAAGGCTTGTTCGATCGTAGCCATATCTTTACCTCTTGATTGACCGAAAGGTACATCTTGTGGCACTTCATCGTAACCTTCATCTTGGATAGCTGAATTAATCATTGCATCGTACTCAGTAAATTGATAACTGATCTTTTTACGACTTCTAGCTGATCGTAATAATAAATATTCACTTTCGTCACTTTCTCCATCTGACTCATTATCACTTCTTTCCATATCAGATTCTTCATCAGAAAATCGTTTAGAATATTTTTTAACCGGTTTTTCTTCGTATTCTCTTTCTTCAGTCGATTTCCTGTGGTTTTCAACGGGCTTGGGTTTGAAAAGTTGGTTCAGACTAAGTTCTACTTGTTTCAATCGTTGTTTACGCATCTCTTCAAGTTCCTTCTTTTCGAGAGCCTTTGATAAAACTTCAAAGCGCTCTTGTAGTTTTTCAATTAATAGTTTCTGTTAAAATTAAATGATGAAAAAAAAACGTTAGAAAATACAAAAATTGATATAAATTTTGGTCACTTACATTTTCACATGGTGGACAAAACCAATCCCCTTCAGGAATTGACATTAGTGGAGGCCTAAGGCATGCAGTATGGAAACCGACGTCACATTTGTCACAAAGAAGAATCTATAAAAACGAGATCATTACAAAGGTAAGTCTTAATGTAATTAAATAGCTGAAATAGTGATTTGGTCAAAAATACGATAACTAACCCAATCTGGATGGTCATATTTGCCACAACGTTGACAAGGTGTATCATCATTAATCTCTTCTGATTCACTACTTGACTCTTGGTCGGGAGCTTTTTCTTTGACTGTAAAAAAGGTAAACAAACATTACGATTAAAATAAAGTCTTGATTAAAAAGCTAGACCATTAAAATTTTAAATAGAAAATCCATCTCTTGGGTTTAGATTTACCTTTTTTAGCTGTTCTTGCTCTTTTGAGAATAATTGGTTCAGCATCAGGCTCAGGTTCTTCGCAAGCGAATTCGTCTTCATTTTCATCAAATTGGAGTATTTCGTCTTCTTCTTCTTCTATCTCTTCTTCCTCTTCCTCTTCACTCGGCTCACTCGAAGAGTCGGCACTATCCCATGGACAGCCTTTCTTTCCGGGGATTCCTTTCTTCTTCTTTTTTCTTTTTTTCTTAGATCGATTTTTTTCGGAAACTTGATCACTTTCACTCGAACTTTCTTCAGTATTGTAACTGCTTTTTCGAGAGTCTTTACTTTTGAAGCTATCACAGCTATTTTCCTGAGATTTAACTTTATTTGCTTGCATTTTCTTTGCCATTTCTTCTAGATGTTGTTGTTCCCGCTTCACTTTCTCAGCGAGTTCAGCATTTTTCTTCTCCTGAAGCGCTTGTATCCTACGACTTTGACGTTTGATTGGTTGTGGCGATGGAGATCTTTCGGCATTTTCGATAATTTGAAGCTCTGGAATTGAGACCCTACGACCTCTACCCCTACCAGCTCCTCCCCTCCCTCTACCACTTTGAGGTTTTGCTTCAATTGGAACTTGTACTTCGGTTGCATTTTGACTCTCTGATTCAGATTTTTCGTCAAAACTTCGATTATTTTGGTTTTGTGTTTTTCTTCCTCCTCTTCTTGATTTTCTTCCTCTTTTTTTACTAGAAAATGTCGATCTTGATGGTGTTAAATCTTCATCTTCACTTTGCTCCTTGTTTCCTGATTCTTGTCCATTAGATGCTTCAATTAAATTTGTGGATGGCGAAGACTCGAGTAAATTGATTGGCTTTTGTTCATCAAGATCTTCATTTGTATATTTTGATGAGATAGGTTGTTGGAAGCTCGAACAAACTTGATCTAAGAGTTGATTGCATAAATCTGTTATATCTTGAAGGTTCACTTCCAAATGCTTTTTTTGTGATGAGAATTGATCTTTAGTTGATATTTTGTCTAAAAGGTTATTGAGAACTGTATGAACTTCGGAGTCGATTTCAGCGGGGGCACTTGATTTTTGGAAGTTAATGTCTGGTAAGAAAAGTTTAGGAAGTTGATGACTTTGCTGTTTACAATCTTGACCGATTGATTTTAAATCAATTTTAGAAAGATTATCATTTTCTGATTCACTTTTCACGATGCACTGGGTGGGATGATGATTATCATGAGATAATGTCACTTCATCTTTAATGTAATCAGTTAATTCACTAGAGTTTTCACTTTTCAATTCTTCAGTGGGAATAAGCTTTTGGTCGAATGAGAAAGTGGACCTTTCTTTTTCATATTGTTCATCTTTTATACTGTTGATTGGAAAAATTAAATTGCTATCATCATTTTCTCTTGTATGCTCGCTCGTTGGTGTAGAATCTTTAAGTTGGTCAAGAGTTTGTGTTTGTAGGCTTGAGATTAAAAACTCGAGATCAACTTTATTTCTGAAGAAAAAAAAGAAAAGAAAAGAAAAATAAATTAATGGTTCCAATTAAACATCAAAAGCTATTCAAACTTACTTGCAAATAAGAATCCAAGACTTTTCATCATCCGGCTCTTCGCGGTAAAGTCTTAAACAAAATTCAGAATCAAGTTGAAACCAATATTGGTTACCATGAATATCCCTTCCTATGGGAGCCAAACGGAGAGATTGAGCTTCCATAGCATTGATACCGGTTTTAAATTTGGCATTGTAATCAAATTGAGCTTCAAGGAGATTCTAAAATAACGAGTAACAGTGAAACAGTAGGTATAAAAATTTTGTCACATAAATTGTCAGATAACCAAATTAAAGAGACGAAAAAAGGCTTAAAATCTCACCTTGAAAGCAGCGAGTCTGATACCGAGATTGACATTTTTGTATCCATATCTTTCGAGTTCCCAAGCATCGACATTAGAATATTCTGAGATAAATTTAACTAATGCTCTTTCCCATTTGTCCCGTTGAATATATTTACGTCTTTTTCTGAGAAGTTTAATGTGTAACTCGACTAATTCTTCTGGAGCTGTAAAGAGATGATAAAAAAAAGAGAATAATTAATAAATAACGTAATGATACTTTCCATGTATTGAAAGAAAAATGACAGGAGAAAATAATTTGAAGAAATAAACAACATGTATAAGTCCCAGAGAATATGTAATAATAAACACACAAGAGAATGAGAAATGCATCAAGAGTTATTAACTTACTTTTCTCATTGGTTTCTAACATAGATTTTAATTGGGCTATGTCCAAATGTAGATCAAGAGATGAACCAAATTGTTCAATGAATGAACAAATAACTGCAAAATTAGGATCACTTTCACAGATTGGTATCTCAGTGGTATCAAGTTTACTCTCCACTTGTTCCAATTTGACAGGAGAATTCATGTCTACATCAACACAAGCCATGATTGTTTAACGAAAAATAAAAAATAAGATTTACAATTGACAGATGAAAGATGACAGCTAATTAAATTAAAATGATGGTGATGATCATGAACACAGGGTTAACTTGAAAAAATTCACTTTATCACCTCTCTCTCTCTCTCTCTCTCTCTCTTTCTCTTGTTTTCTTTAATCTCTGGGTCAGGGGTTGGTATTGATAAATAAATTGCGAGATCTTTTTCTTTGCCCCTTGGAGAAAATTTTATATACACAAGGTGACGGGTTTTCTTTTAGTCGCCAAAAAAAGCCAAATTCTCGGTGGTAACTCTAGAGACACTTGAATAATTCACAATGTAAAAGAAAAAACTGTGAATTTATTCTGCCGACAAACAAAAAAAAAACATGAGAGAAGAAAGAAAAATGTAAAAAAAGAAAGATAGAGAAAGAGAGCAAATGAATTAAATGAAAGGTAAAAGGAAAGTAAAAAGAAAGAGAGAAAGAGAGACAGAGAAACACAAACAATAAATCCTTTTATTTTTTGGATAAAACTCTTTGATTCTTTAAACTGCTAACAGACGAAAAGAAATTAATTGTCCAATGATCATTGATAATGAGTAAATTGTTCATATTGTCAGGATAAAATTTAAAATAGATCAATACAATTAATGAGTAATAAAAAATGATAAAAATTTTCTTTCCACTTTTAGAATACAAATTTTATTTAGAAGAAATAATTTTCTCTTTGAGAAAAATACGTCATCAGCCAATTAGAATTCATCATAATATGGAAGCGCCTTTTTCGAATTGAGAGAAGAGAATAAAATTCAAATTCTATTGATAATTTTTCTTTTCTTTTTTGTCCTCAAATCCAATTAATTCTCAAACAATTTGTCATCTCTAATCTTGTAATTCTTTAATTAATTGACAAATATTGAAATTCTCTTCTTCTTAATTGTGACCACCCAATCATTTAGATTATTTTCTCTTCTTTCACTCCAATAATCAGCTGATAATCTTTAAAATAATCTCAACGTGTTTGCTTTTTTTTGATTGTCTTTTTTTTTGCTTGTTAATTGTTGATTGTTTTTTTTAATTATTTATTCATTTTGTTAATTGTTTTCTCTAATTGTTTGTTTTCTGCATTTTGCTTTTATTCTTGTTGCACTTGGACTTGTTTCTGTTTGGTTGTTGTGTTAATCTTTTTAACGTTGTGTTGAAACCTCATTGTAATGGCTTCTGATGCAATTAGGGTTTATCGTCATGCCTATTTGAAAAGTGCTGAGATCGTTGATACTGAATATAATTTACTAATCCATGTACAACCTTTACACCATTTAATCGCCTCTCTATGTGGCTCTCACCTTATCTGGAAGGTGGAAACACTATTACCCACCCTTACCCGGCATCCGAGGATGAGTCAGGATCACGTTTTCCATATAATCTGTTGCCTTATGTCAACCGAAATGAGTTACAATCTATTTAAACTAAATGACATTTGGTCTTTTCTATTGAAAAATTTTTTCCAATCCTGTTGTATTAAATATGAAATTCTAGCCGATTTCATGACCAACCTTATTGGCAATGGTTTCTACAAGGAGGCCAAAAGTGAATACAATTCAGTTTGGGCAAAAAGGACCATGACTTATGTAACCGAAGACATTTTTGAACAAATTGCCAACTCTTGTGTGGCTCTTTGTGATTATATGGTTTGTGTTGATGAATTAAGCTCTTCATATCAACCATCACAACAAAATTACATGATTTTGGATCAAGTTGTTAACATTTGGAAAACAATTCTAAAAAACAAACCCGGTCCTTTAGATTTTTTAATTCCTCGTATTCTTGACATTTATATTCATAATAATGAGATTGATGAAGCTCTCGAATGTCTAATTGCCTACAAAGATCTTAACAGTGACAATTTAAACGCTTATATTTACATATTCAAGTTCTTAGGTTTGTATTTGTTTTTTTTTCCTGTTTTTCTCTTCTCGAAATGTTTCTAATTCATCTTGTCTTTTCTTATTTCTTCCATTTACAGTAAAATATAAAAAAGCCGATCCAAAATCAGAGAAAATTATTGAGGATTGTTTTCATAAAGTTGCTCAACTTTCACCTTGTTCACCTTTAATCATTGAAATGTTGGATTACTGTAAAGTTGGTTCTCGTTATACTTGTACTATCCTCATGGAATTTGTTGATTTCTTTCATAACAAAGAAAATCTTGAAGCATGGAAAAAGTTGTGTATTCACCTTGAAAGATTGGACATTTTGGAATGGGATACAATCAAAGAGTCTTACAAATCAATTTATTCGAGTTATTGGCCTGAATATCATTGGAAATCACTTGAATCTCGAGAATCATCTGAGTTATTAGAATGGAAAGAAAAAGTTTATCAAATGTTAGTCAGTAAACCGAAAAATCTAAAGCATAGAAAAAATTCTTTCAAAGTACCATTTCGTCAGAAGAAAATTAAATACGAAGAAAAAAGATAATTTAAAGACAATCAAGGTATGAAATTAAATTTTCTATCAAACAAATTCGCTCACAATTTGTTCATCTTCTAATCAGAAATAGAGGATTTGCAAATCAATTCTAATTTGCATGCATCTTAAAATTACTAATTAATGACTCAAAAAATTTCTTTGCTAATTGTTTTTCTCTCTATTCATCTCTTTAGCATCCAATCGACAATCTACAAACTGTAACAGTTTAACTGTTACTTCAAGTTGGACTTACAAAACTTATCGCTCAGGTTACCTGTTTGTTTCCCTCATTTTAACCATGGTAACTGAGTGACCGGGAAATGTCAACATATCACCACCTTCAAAGGAGGAGGAGGAGGAAAGAGACAGAGAGAGGAGTCGATAGACTCGGAAGTAATACAGAGAATAGCCAAAGGTGGGATTATTAAAATAATCATTCTAATAACAGGAACACAGAGAAAATAGAAAGAGAGAGAGAGAGAGAGAAAAGAAAGAAATTGGAGGTGGACAAGGAAGAAATAACAGAATTGGTGGCAATAAATAGGGAGAAAAAAGAAAACTGATTTACCTGTAATTTACCTGATAGTCCATTCTAAATGTGAATAACCCTTATCGTTTTCTTATATTCTTCAAGTGATTATTTTTTTTTCTTCTTTCATCATTATCATCATAAACATCAGAATAATATATTCATCTATTGATATATCATCTACATGCACACTCACAAATACGAGCCAAAGGTGGAAAAGAATAGAGATTTTTTTTTTCTTTTTCTCCCTTTTCTTTTTTCTACTCTTTCAATATTTTTTTCATCTCTTTCTCTCCCTCTCTCTCTCTCTTTCGTGTTGCTCACTCTCACAAAATATATTACCTTTTGTTTATAGATATTTTATCTAACTCAATTCAATAATTCAATTCGTCTTATTTTCCTTTACCAGATTTGATTACCTCTTGATCGGTGGATTTTGTTTCTCTCTTATTGTTCAACCAATTCTGGTCTCAATCAAAGTTTTTTAGTTGATTTATTTTGTAATTCGCGTGGTAATTACTTAATTTAATCAATTTCCTTTTTTTTTGTGCATCGTTCACCAAGCGGATTAATCAGTTACAAAGAATTGGTGAAACTTTCTCAATATTCTTAAAGTGAAACTTTTTGTTCTTGATTTAACTTTTAATTTTGATTCATTGTTTGCTACTCGGATTTAATCACACAAATGGGTTGTGGAGCAGCAAAAGCCACTCAAACATCAGAAGGACCTCAAAATAGTATCAATGAAAAGAACAAAATTCTGGACTCAATAGCCCAAGAAGACAATAATAATAAAGTATCCGATCGACCACCAACTCCAGGTAACAGTGAGTTAAATTTTTCAACTTTTCTATCGAATTAGATTTGGTCCGTTTTTGATTGTATTGTCTTTTGTTTTGTTCTAGTGCCCAAACCAGTTGCATTCGAGATACCAATCGATCCATCGGTGACCGATGGCGGCGGAGATGAAGAATCAATTGTTAAGAAACATCCACCAAAACGATTGGCACGATTAGAGGAGCAAAGGGCTTCGATTCCGACAGTTGATGATATTAAAGAAAAAATAGCGAAAGCGGAAGAAAGGAGACAAGAAATAATAGAGGAAAAAGTTGCTAAAGCTCGAGCTGTTCAGGCCAAAGCTCAAGGAGAAAAGGTAAATGACCGAAATTATAATATATTGATGAAATTTGTAATTTAATTAACTAATTGTTTCCATCTTACAGTCTAGTCAAAAAAGTAGCAGTAGTGATGATACAACAGGTTCCAATAGTAATAAGAGTGAGGACAAAAAAACTACTGATGAATCAAAAGACAAAGCCAAAGAAAGTGATGGAAATACTAATGATACCAATAATAATGACACAATTAACAGTAACAATTCAAATTCAGTTGATAAAAACAGCACCAATGGTAAGGATAAAGTGGAAACCAAAAGCAACGATTCTAAAAGTGATGATAAATCTAATGACAGTTCATCAAAAGAAGCAACATCAATTAAGGATAAAGTCGATTCTTGAAGAGAAATCAAAAACAATCAATTGATTCTTGAGCTCTCGGACAAACAATTTCAATCAACTAATATACTTAATCAAGGATTATTACAATTATTATTATCAATATTATTAATACCTTAAATTGATCAATCATTTTCATTGTGTACAGTATTTGAACAGTTTTTTTCATCTCCTAACCAAGTCAATTGCCTCCTTTTGAACATTAACCCCAACTACTAATTAATTATAATAATTACGACATTTTTAAACTTCCAAGTAATTTAAAATATCATGTTGATAACTATGAACTCCCAGGAATCAGGATAAACTTTTATTATAATTAGACAATAATGTCTCTTGAATGTGCGTGAGACAAATATCATCAACATTAATGATGATGTTTATGATAACCATAAACGAGACAAAATTGATGACAACAATCAACGAATTTCAAGCGAAAAAAAATCAAATTTAATCGTAACAATTAAACGAAAATAAAACTCCCTTTGTAATCTCATACTAAAAATTTTTTCCATTCTTGTCCTATTAAAATAATCATTTCTTTTTTTTTCCACAAAAGAATTAACTCTTTTTCTAGACAATCAATTACTTACAGATAATTAAGCAATCCATTGACAATTTAAATGTCTTCTTACAGTTAATCACAATCAATAATCGAGAGAAAAAAATTCGATTCTCTTTGTTTGTTTTCCATTTTTTTTTCCAAGAACTTAAATCATTAAGGTTTTTGTTTCTCTCTCACTCGCTCATTGATTAGTGAGAAATCAAATTTAATCATTGGTTAATTTTCTCAATGAAATTGGTCACCATTTCCTACTAATTAGAATAACTAACCAAATGATCAATTGATCAGAAAAAGTAATCACAGTTAAAGGGATTGATTGAGATGGAAAAAGGTAACAATCGGACAATAGCGTTGGGGAACAATTTAAGTTACTAACAAGACTTTTGATTGATTTCTCATCTAATGATTAACATTAACAATCGATTTTTTTTTCTCTCTCTTCATCATCAATTGATATTATTTATCAATGGAAATATAATATACATTTGATTGTTGATAATCTATTCAGTTAACTTCTTATATTTCTTTCTCACTCTCAGTTAATCAATTCTGTGGACATTTTTCTCGGAAGGAGAAAATATTATTTTATCGTAATAATTTATTCGTAATAATAATGATTAGAATAAAAAAAATATTATCAATCGATATGAAAGATTTTACCTTTTATTTAAATTGATCCAATTTGTTGGCCAACAATTTAGATACAGAGCACATTTTAAATATTAACAATATACTTGCTTTTTGATCAAAAATATTGACAAGTAATTGCTTTAATCCAACATTAATAGGAACAAATTAATTATGATTGTTTGGATGTTAACATTGATTAGATTTGGTTGTTGTTTTCAGTTAATTTAGGATTTATATGAATTACAGGAAGTATATATGTTTTATCAAAATTGGAAGTTTAAATTGTACACAAATTTTATTGACTCAATTGTAGACAATTAGTTAATAAGTTAGATGAGTGGTTAAAGATTGGTCTTGGGTTGTGATTGATGATGAGGGAGATTCAATCAAATTTGATTACGATCAACTCGATAGCTGGTTATTGGTGTGATTGTGATTGTGATGAGGTGATGAAAATTAAAAGTTTTGATGGTGTTTTTAACTAATACAATAAATCATTTGGATAATATATTCAACAGGAGCATCTTTGTTCAGATGGGAATAAATTTATCAATTAAATTAATGGGAAATGATTAGAGGGAGATGTTAATTGTTCAGGGTGATTTCCATGGGACTAATTTGCCGTCCATCCAGCGTTTACATGGTGCCTCTTCAAACCACCATTCAGATAAATGATCCCACGTTTTAGTTGATTGTTTGGGTTGATTGAGAGCTGAACAAATTTTACAACCATAATGAGAGTATGTTTGATAATGATATCGTTTCCAATTAAAGTAAACATCATATTCCTCTGGAGTTTGAATCAAATGGACCAGATAATCAGCCAATTTGGCTGGGGAATCGTAAGAAAGAGCATCAATATAAGAATTAGGTGGTGCTATTCGAGAGTAATCAGCACCACCGAAAACAATTGGTACAATTGGATAGTTCAAGATTGAGAAAAATTTCTCTGTTACATAATCGGGACACAATGAATTCTCAAAGGAAAGGTAGAAATAATATTTTTGGCTCAAAGTATCGTAACATTGATCGGACATTTTCGGCAAACAGGTAAGGTTACCACAGGTTCCAAAGATATCAACGCGTATGTATTTCTTAAGCTCATCTACATAAGATTCGCGATTTGAAGGTGTTTTACAATTTGAGACAAACCAGGCGACCTTTCCAGGTCGATAATGGTTAATGGATAACTCGGGTTTCACCGATTCGAGCGGAAGGAAAACTGGAGATAACGAAAAGTCCGAATCGAGGCGATAGGTAACAGTCCAGTTAATCAACCCATTGAGAGCGGCTACTGGTTGGAAGACGGTGTGAGACGGTGATTCGTGATTAAGATAAATCCATCGCTGTTGAGGATCTCTGGTTCCTGTTGGTAAATCAGAGGTTTTTATATCTGCTGAATGAAACATCAGAGCATCAGCTTCATGATAAGAATCACGATTAGATGTGAATTGGCAATTAGTGTAATCACAATTAGACTGCCAGTTTTGGATGTAATCCTTGGTTTGGAAGAAATCAGTCCAAAGAATTATCGTAAATTCCTTTGATTTGGAAGCCAATTTAGCTTTTTCACCAATTTCGAGCTCATTTTCTAGTCTAATTTGTGGTTTACTTTCTGGTCCAATTTCTGGTTCAATTTCTGGTTTAATATCTGGTTTGTTTTCCTGGAGGTTTACCTTAGGTAACTCTACTGGTTTCTCATTGGTTTCCTTGGATTCAGATTTCTTTTCATCAATGAAACCATCTTGTAAAATTTGGGAAACATTTAGTTGATCAATTACAATTGAAGATTGATCAGATTGGTGGATTAATGATTTATCCTCATCATGGACAACTAAATCCTCTTCCATTTGACTCTGAATGGGTTCATCGGGTATAACTGGTTCTCCTTTGCTTATTTCTTTCATGTTATTGTTATTATTTTGATCATCAACAACATCTTCAACTACCATTGGATTTTCACTGCTTTTCAATTCTAATGGTTCGGAAATGAGAGATGCAGGTAATTGGGGAATAAGATTTGTCCGTTGGAAGATGAATTGAATCAAGATGAATATTGTTATCACGAGAATGGACATTGCCAGTAAGATCTTTGATCTTTTCTTACTCATTATGATTATTTCAATATGGAGACACAGTGAGATAGGAAACAGAGGAAAATAATTTAGATGAATCAACCCAATCAGAGGTAATTAGAGGCACTTCTAAGGGTCACCAGTCGATGAGAGTGGGAATTACACCTGAGGAAATTGTTAACTGTCCATTAATTAAATCACATGGAAAATAAGTAACACAAAACAACGTAAATTGATGATAGACAATCGAGAACTTGTTTACATTGATGGTTGAGAAGAGGAAAAAGTTACAGCTGATCAAGACCTTTGTTCATTTCAATCTGAATGTGAGAATAGATTAATTGAAGAAACTGTTTAATTGTTCAACTTGATTATCCGATATTTACATGTGAACAATGTGGATGTTTAATTAGTTTAGTTTGTTTAATTTTCTATTGGAAAATTTTTATTATTTGTAACTGTTAATGATACGCATCAAGTGTGGCACTTTCAATCTTGAACTTTCACCTTGATTTTGGACTTGGATTAGTCTTTAAACCTGCTAATTAAATACAAATCGAATATGATAATTAACTGAATTACTATTGAAATTTTTCTCATGAGTAATTTGGCTGATTCACTAAATGAAATTCTTAGATCCTTAAGGAATCGAATCGAAAACGAAATTTGAGTGTCTTCGAATCCTTAGTAAGTTTTTCGATCTATTAACTTGCGAAAACTGTTCAAGTTTTTTGTATCGACTGTTAATTGTTCAATTCGATTAGATTACAATCAAAATAGTTCTTTTATTCTTTTAATTTTTCCAAAAGAGTACATTAATTGTAACGAACAGAGAAGGAAAATATTTAATTAGGATAATTTGATTGTCGACGAGATCTTTTTCCGTCTTCTTTTTAATGAAAAAAAAAGTTCTGAGTGTTGAAAGAGATAAAGAAAACCGGAAGAGTGAGAAGGTGAGGAAGTAAACAGGAAACAGATAATTAGACAAGATGAATTAAAACCTGAGTATTATGAGTGAGAATCAAGAGTTTTTATCAAATGGTCAATAAGTTTATCCATGGTATCCACCTGATCGTGAACCACCACCATAACCTCCTCGTGATCCACCATGACCACCACCGTAACCTCCTCGAGAACCTCCACCGTATCCACCTCTGGATCCACCACCGTGTCCACCACCGTAACCACCTCGAGATCCACCTCCGTATCCACCTCGAGAACCACCTCGGTGTCCACCACCATAACCTCCTCTAGATCCACCACCGTGTCCGCCACCATATCCACCTCGTGAGCCACCATAAGCTAAGTAAAAAAAAAGATTAAAACAAAGAGAAAATTAAAATTTAAATGGAAACAATTTAGAACAATTAACTAATCACTTACATCGAGACTCAGCGGCTTGAAGAGTATCCTCTTCACCGTAAACTGAGGCGACGGTTAACATGACGATAAGAGCACAGGCGATGATAAAAGTCTTCATGGTTGATTAGGAATAGAAATTGATTTCTCAAAATTAAGAATAGAATTAAATTGTTCAAGTTAACTGTTGATGGTTAGAATTGAATCTGATGAATTTCAACTGAATTTCAATCTCTTTTTATACTAAATCCAAAGTCTATTAATCTTTTCTCACCCTCGTCATCAATTCTCTCTCACTCACTCACTCACACTCTCTCTCTCTCCCCTTCGCACCATTGGAGATAAAAATGAACGAAATCAACAATTAGAATTGAATTGCGACCCTGATTCATCCTAATTAACTCCCGCCTATTTGTCCTCTCTTTCTAATTCTCTTTCTTTTCTTCCAATTTCACCTTATTCCAGTTCTCCCTTCCTCTTATCTTCATCATTCTCATCCTTTTGATTGTTCATTGAATTAATTTTTCGTTGCTGTAATTATCATATATTAACATTGGTGAGAATCACTGATTAGCTTGAGAACTAAAGAAACAAGGAAACATTTTTAAGAGAGTTAATCATCAATAATTAACTAATTGTCTTGAACCATTAAACCTGTTTACTAATTTTACCAATAACTTATATTTGTTTTCTATTGTTGATTAATTCATTTTTTTTCTTTTTCTCTTTAGAACTTTTTTCTTCTTAATATCTTCTTTTCTGGTTTTACCTCTCTCTCTCTCTCTCTCTCTCTCTCTCTCTCTCTCTCTCTCTCTCTCTCTCTCTCTCTCTCTCTAATTTCTTCCTTGGTCAGTTGATTGCTTCTTATTAAATTCAATTACGATAAATCGGACAAGGTAATTTTTCGCAATACTTTTAAATCGTGATGATTTATTTTTAATTATCCTCAAGCCCTTTAATCATCATCATCGAAAAAGGTAACTTCATATTTACACTTCGATAACAAATTAGGCCTCCAAATCTTTGTGTTCACATTTAAATCTTCATCTCAATTGACTATTTGTTGTCCAAAACTCATTAGAGTTAATTGTTCTATGGAATATCTAATCATCTTCGATTTTTTCGATTTCATCGGTCCTTCGATTAACAAACTTCGCCTACATCCCAACAACACCAACGCCGTTACTTGACCAGTTGAGAGAATCAAATTAACAATGGAAAATAATGACGATCATCTCTCGAACTGTCCAAGGTCAAATCAAGATATTCTTCAATAGTCCTTAATCAACAATTAATCAGCAATTAAGCTTTCAAGATGATTTTAGTTATCATTTCTTTCGCCTTCTTACAACATTAACTTAATTTCAATGACATTCGACTATTTATTTACCTATTGCTACCTTTAAATAGCTTCTTTTCATTTGGTCAACAATTGGAAATGATTAATAATCGAATCGAAAATTTTCAACTGACCTTTACATTCATTATTATCGGCAATTTAATTGAATTTTAATCGACATTGATTTGGATGGTCAGTTTCTCTTTCAGTAAACTTTTGACCATTTGTTTTGTTTTCCATGTCAAACTTAGTGAAAGTTTTTTCTTTCATTATTATAAAGACAATTAATGTTGATTTGATCGGGAAAAAAAGTGGCCTCATCAAAGTTTTACCATTGAATAAAACGATGCTAATGATTTAACTACAAATAGAAGACGATTGTTATGTTATAATCAACATCATTAACCCAAAGTAATCAAAACAATCAAAGGACAATCAGGTAATATAATAATTGTTACTTTCTTAGATTGAAATTCATTAATACAAAAAAAAGATACAAAGATTATAAATCAAGATAATTACAACAACAACAATTAGCGAGAGTTAAAACCTTGGACAGGAAAACTATTCCTTAAATTGGTCAACCCTTGAAATAGAAACTAAATTAAACTACAATTAACTAATCAAGATGAAAAGGAAAGAGAGAGAAGATTAAAATGATAAACAATAGTGTTACAATTAAGGAGAAATATTCTTTTCTCTTTTTTGATTGTTATTAACTTAAATTTTCTGTTAATTTCGATTAGTAACAACAAAATGACCACTAATTATGACCACTCAATTTGTATTTTTCTTTACAATTTAAAGTTTCATCTGAAAAGTGAAAGTAAACAATTTCGGCCAAGGTTGATGCTAAAAACTCACCTTCACTTTTGCTGATTCAATTGTTGTTATTTTGATGATAATTAACTTGTCTGGACCAATCAAATTAACTAAAATCAAATAACGAACAATATATTATCTTGTTAATGATTAATCAAAGATTAGTTGATTTATCCGAAATTAACAATTGATTGGAAGAAGAAATGAAAAGTTAACAAATTGTTAAAATTTTCACTTTTTCGAAAATTTGATTTTTTTTTCTCGTTCGTTTCGTGTTTCAATTCATTGCCATTGGAATTAACAATTAATCAATTGCTTCTAATCGAACTATATTTATATTCTTATACGATATTATCGTCATATAACTGATGTAATCAATTTAATCTTTTAATTACTTTATTCTTCCTACCTTGTTAACTATTTGATTACTTTGATTATCTTTTGCTACTTCCTTGAAGACCTAATCAATTGAACTTGATTGCAAGATCATCATCGTTTTATTATTATTAATTTTTTTATCGTTCATTCATATATATGGTTAATTTTTTGTTTCTCTTAATTGTAAACACTAAATGAAGGTCGATTGAGAAAAAAAAACAACGACGATAATATAAATTTTATATGAAGAGCGATTAAATTGTTTATAACAATTAACAGAAACAAGAAATTTACTTTATAACAAGTAATTTGTCATATGAATAAAAAAAAAATATTAACAACTTATTCAAATCAACATGATGATAATTTAAATAATTAAATATTTGTTCTTGACCAAATTGAATTGAAAGTTTTCATTTCAAAACAATCAAATTAATCAAATTTGAGTAATTTCTTAATCCTCGAGATGATTTCATGTTAAAGACTATGAATTAACCTCCTCATTTAATTCAATAGGCAATTATTCATGAAAAGAGATTCAATTAAGTTCAGGATTATCATGTTGATGATTAACGATTAAGAACTTGTTTATATTGATGATTGAGAAGAGGAAAAAGTTACAGCTGATCATTGGACCTTTGTTCATTTCAATTTGAATGTGCGAATAGATTAATTGAAGAAACTGTTTGATTGTTCAATTTGATTGTCCGATATTTGCATGTGAACGATATGGATGTTTAATTAGTTTGATTTGTACTTTGTTCATATGGAAAATTGTTATTGTTAACCTGCTAATGGATTTGCATGAATTGTGACACTTTTAATCTTGATCTCGATTGTGGGTCGATATTTTTTCGTATTATTAACAGGAATCTTTTCCAATGCATCTAAAGTATCAAATCCATCAATTACTCTGAAAGAGATCATCAAAATGATTAGTAAATTGTTTGTTAGTGTTGCGTGACATTTACTGATATGGTAAAGGGTAATACTCACTTTCCAAATATTGTGTACTTCATATCGAGATGTGATTGTTTATCATAAGTGATAAAGAATTGAGATGCATTTGAATTCGGTCCACTATTGGCCATGGAAACGATTCCACGAACATTATGAGTAAGTGAATCAACTAATTCATCTTCAAATTTTCCTCCCCAAATAGATGTTCCTCCTTTACCAGAATTCGTTGGGTCACCAGTTTGAACCATGAAACCTTTGATATTTCTATGGAAAAGACAATTATTGTAATAATCAGAAGCACAAAGGGCCAAAAAATTCTGAAAAAGAACAACGAAAAAAAAAACAAAAACAATTAATGTTATTTAAGAAAAGTAAACAAACCGAATCAACAGAAAAACAATAACATCAGAAATCATTGATTCTAAAAACAAAAAGAAAACAAAGAAACCATTTCAAAATTACCTCACATGTTTTCGGGCAAAGGTCACAGAACAGTTCGATCTTTAAATCACCCAAATCGGTGTGAATTGTCACCGCCATAAAAATAGAAACAAATTAAAATAATTAACAATCAACCCAAAGAAAGTTAAACAACATCAAGAGCAGAAAAAATTATCAGTGAAAATAAGCAAATGTTATTTTCACAAAAGTCGCTATTCAAATAGACTTTGTTTTGGTTCAAAAATGTGAGAATTTGTTTTCCAACAATCAGTTAATTGTAATTTTATTTCGTTTTTAACACAATTTACTATTAATTTAACCGGTGAACATTTACCTTTACTAATTTAATGTAAGTATTTTGATTTTTAAAGTCGATCAAAACTCTAATTTCATTAAATCTTTTTGTTCTCTGTTTTTTTTTGTTCTCATCTCAGTTTGACTTGTAAAAGTCAGTAATTAGTTAATCGTAATGTCTGATACTGGCAATAATCCAAGTCGTTCTAGGAAAATATTCAATGTAGCTTTAACTCTTATACAACCACCCGAACCTCGATTCGACAAAGAATGGCCGAAAAAACCACCTTTCTGGCAAATCTATGGAACTCCGGTCACTAAGATTTATTGGAAAATGATCCTAGGGTTTGGTGCTTTTTCTGCTTTTCTGATGGGTGCAACGGCTTATATTCAACCCAAGGTTAGCTTAGGAATTTTCGATCGATATTTTCTTCCGGAAATGTTTTACACTGGTGAGCAAAAGGAAAAATGGATTGAACAACAATATGAAAGGTTAGCTTTTCCGCCGATAACATATGATTCCTACACTCGAGATGGATCATTCGAAGAGACCACAAAACAATATCGAGAAAGATTGGAATCTCTAGACACAGCCTTGAATTCACAGAAAGTTTTCCGATCCGCTGCTTTATAAATTGATAAAATTGTTCTAGAAACTGTTAATTCTTATGTATAATAATACTATAATTAGTCTTGTAAGCATCTTGATAAATAATCACATGGAAAATTGTTCAATCATTTGAATAGCCATTCAGTTGATTTTACAATGAAAATCAACATTTTATTATTTTTCTGTTTATTGTATCAAATTACAATACATTTAAAGTAAATTACTTTCGTTTTCTCACTGAAAATGAACACAATACAAAACAATAATTACTCTAATAGATTAATTGTTGTCCCATAGAAAATACATTTCAATTAATTGTAACAGAAAACGAAAAAGCGTCTATTACAATTGATAATTAGCGCAATTTAATCGTATAATAAGAGTTGCAATTAGTTTAAGTTCAGTAACTTGTTTTTTTTTTTGCTTAACGAAAAGAAACCAAATCAATCATGATTCTTAACAATTAATTTTACGCAAAATTAAACTCCAAGATTTTAAAATTAATTCACAATTTGAGGCAAATAAAAGTAGATTAGTTTTCCTTATAACTGTTGACATAGCGATTAGATTATGATCAATGAAGAAATGAGATGATAACGATTAAATTTTGTATCGATAATCATTGATTATGAGCAGATTTTGTGATTATAAGAAATATTGACAATCCAATCAATCCAATTGATTAGCATTAATTACATAGATGATCCAGAAAGACGAGAACGATAAATGTTACACTTTGGCGTTAATCTTAATCCATCCTATTGAAACTTTTCAAATCCACTGAAAAAACTGCTTCCTGCAAACTGAATTAACAAAGAGGAAAAGGAAAAACAATTGATTAGTTGAAGATTAATTAGAGAAAATTAAAAGTTACGTCATTGTATTGATTGATTGTTGATAAAAAAAAGGATTTAGTGTCAATCTACTAGAGAGACAAAATTTCAAGTGGATCAATAGGAATGAGAAGATGAAGAAAAGGGTTTCCTTTCGTAAAAAGAAAGAGATTATCTTCCTCTTAGGATGATGAGAATGATGATATTTACTGAAAGGATGTGGAGCATGATTCCTGAAAATTCATCTTCTAGTGCGTGGGTTTTATTTCCTCCTCTTATCTTCATCTCTCTCTCTCTATTTTCCACCCTCAATGTTATTTCCTTCATCGCCCTTTGAATATCTGAACTTTAGATTATAACGGTTTCATTTATCATTAGATTATCATGGAAAAATCAGTTGAAACCTTGACTTTACTTGGAAATTAAATTGTTGTTGTTACTCGTTCAATGTCAATTGTTATGAGACAGAGAGAGAGAGAGAGAGAGAGAGAGAGAGACAGGGAGAGATTGAGTTCTCATGGTGGTAGAAATCATTAGGAATCATAATCACAATTCTAATCATTTGGTTTTCCACCATAAATCATTGATCTTCATGGTGATAAGACTTGATGATTGTCCATCATCATGAATAGTTGATTGTTTATGTTTAACATGATCATTAAAACGGAAACTGTATCTTTTTCCGTTCTATTATTATTTACCCACCGCCCAAGAAATTAACCATCGATAATCAAAACTAAATCAATGATCAAAACTAAATTAGGTTATTCAACTGTGAACACAAACAAATTATTCAAATATAAATCAATCCTGATGCTTATATGATGATGATGAATATAAGACAAGTAAATCATTGGAGATTACAATATAAATAAACAGAATATAAGTTTGAACTAAAAACTACAATCAGAATGAAACAATTAAGCTAAATTTTACAATTACAACAACAAACCGCTAAAGTAAATAAACAGAAACGATAATTATAATAATCACTTGAAAGTAAACCAAATTTAGATAGAGATGAAAATATAATCAGATTAAAGTAAATGAAAGATAATTATTGACTCATGAACCATAATAATCAATAGACAATCAAACAGGGGACCTAATCATAAATCATCATATTAACCATAAATCCATAATTAATATTAAACCAACTGATCAATGATGATGACATGGGATGTAATTTATTTATCTGTTTATCGTTGATGTAAAAATCAATAGTTAATGTCAACAATATGTTCAACTCAGATTATTGATTAGCTTTCATGTCTCAACAATCAACACATAAACATCACTCACAGATTGTTAATTGTTAACACAATTTATCTCAATGAACCATCAAAATGAATTAATAGTAAACAGCAACATTGTCAACAATCAACGAGAGATTGTCATGTACTTACTTTATAAAGAAGAATATGATCAAAAGACGATTGGACATTCGTTAGGTGCTTTTTGGCCAATTTTTTGAGATCTCGAAAAACCCGATTGACTGATAATGAGGCGGATGAATATTTGGCTCGTTTCGATTTCGACAAATCTTGTTTGAATTCTCGTCTTAATCGGGCGATTCTTTCCTTTTCCTTGTCTCGATTATCCTTTTTCACCTTAGCAATTATATCAGCATCGATATTCAGATTGGGCTGGTAATTGTAATAGTAATTAGAGTAAACAGTTGATGTAGAATTCAAATGTTTCTTAACCACATCCTTAGAGTCTAAAGGTAACATTTTCCTTTTTTTTTGTGTCGAATTTTCGATTTTAAAAACGAAACAATTAACTCGCAAAAGAGGCTGAAAAAAGCTTAACGTAAAGGGAAATCACAACAAACACTCAGTCGGTTTGTTTATCAATTCTTACCCGGAAAGTATATAAAGATGAACACAATATCGAAAACACAATTAGAACTCAGAATGACAACAATTTTGTTAGAATATCGATTTAAATCTACAAACACTTACAAACGAACAAAATTAAATCTTTCATTCATCATCTTCCATTCACATCACCTTAGTCTTTTCTATTCTCTAGTGAAAATAAGCATCTCATCGACTCACCGGCCTCTTGCTCTCTCTCTCTTCTCATTCTCTCTCTCTCTCTCTCTCTTTGAGTCGTCTCTCTTTCTTTTCTTACAGAGAATATCATTTTCTCTCTTTTCTCCCGCTTTCTCTCTTGTTCCACCACCACCCTCCCTGTCTCCATCTTCCACCCCACCTCTTCCTCTCAAATTCAACGGACTTTTTAAGGCTAACCCAAGATTCAAACTGAAGAGAAACCAAAATCCGTTGAATTGTCTGGTAACCAATATGTTCATTATTTATTATCAACTAACCTTTTAAATTTTAACTCCAACTGACAAACTGAATTTAAATTGTTCACCATCAATAACAACAACAAACATTGTAAATTATTATTATTACGTAAATATCACTAATCATTTTCATTGATAATTATCACTGAATTGATTTCATTTCTTTTATTTCATGATATTATTAAGTGTCAACTGATTCTTGATACTAACCAGATGAAATCAATTGTTTATTATCACATCAAACTAATATCAACATTTAACAAATTGACATTGATTATTAGATTAAATGATGAAAAGATTATATTCACGACAATTAAAATGACACAAAACAAATTAATAAATCACAGTGTTGATTAAACGACCAAAGGAAATAAAATAATTGTTCCCACAAAAAAAGTTGACATTTAAATTTTCAATTCTTGTTAGTTTATTTTAATTGTGATCCATTTTTTGTGGGTACAATTATCTTAACCCTGATTGATCTAGATAACAATTAGATGAATTTCACAATTAACTGATATTCACAGAGGAAAGAAACACAATCAACTAATCATTTAAGAATAAAAAAACTCTTTTTAAATTGTTAACCAGAATCTTCATTGATACTGCTCATTGGTTTCTCTTTTCATTTCTCAGTTAATTGTTGTAATTATTTCCATAACTGTTAATCATCTCTTTTTCTCTTCCTAATTGTGATAATTAAGGTGAATTTTCACTCCTAAATGATACTAAACTAAACTATTAAAGTACAATTTAGCTCAACTCAATTTAATTAACAAACATGTACGAAACAGTTAAGATGTTGGATTGTCTCGCAAGGGTGGAAATTAATTTTTCCCATTAAACCATTAATTAACCATTTGAACACCTTAATAGAGTCTCAACTAATCAATCAACTTAAACAATTACCAAGTTAGTATTTTAATCAATAGAATCACTAATCAATAGAGATCATCTGAATCTATCAATAATCATTCACCATCTAAATGATAGGAAGATTGTTTTAAATTTTAAAAATCAGTACAATTGAAAATGAAATGATTACTTTTTATTGATTATCGGTTCATCATCGGAACAATTAACAGATTGGTCTAATGAAAAGATTCTTATTGAAGAATTAGTTGGAATGGTATTTTAGTTGCATCTTTTCAATGGTAAACAACTTTGTTTCTTTTGTCGGGTTAAAGTGACCTAAAGGACCAGTTTACAATGACCAATGTCCATTGAGAATTGGCCTTACCTTACCAGAATCTTCCAGAATGAACCGATTTGAAATTAAGAATCTCTTGTGAAATTTCATAGTAACAATTAGAATCAATTGCAGTTACAGTGATACGATTATCATTGTTACTGAATAAATTAGAGATCCTTTGAACATAATCATGATTCAATTAACTTTTAGCTAATCAATTTTAACTAATACAATTGTATTGGTTTATCCATCTTGTTTGTTACCTTAATAAGCTTGATAAGCTTAATTAGCGTTTCAAAGCTCGAAAATGAGATCATCGCTCAGACCGATGGCTTTAATTAGCTACTATGATTCCAATTAATTGGCCCAATATAAAAAGAGAGACACTTTCCAAGATTGGTCAGTTTAATTTTCTATCACTTTCAATCCAATAAAACTATCAAATTATAATTTCAACACTTGTAATTAGCCATCATGTCCAATCCTAAATTTCATGTCGATATGATATTTATTCGTGAAAAGTATACCGATGAATTACTTTCCAAGGTACCACCGGTTAGATTGTACCGATTAATGGATCTGTTTCTGGTGAGTGTTTACTTAATTTTTCGTGTCATCAGTAAATTCTAAATAGTCAATCGTTTCTTTTATTTGTGTTATTAGGTACAAGGGAAAAAGTGTCTCAAAGAATTCATGAATCCAGAGACTGGTCAAGCATTTATGAAGCTGACCCCTAGTTATGATATAACTATTAACACCGGTAAGGGATTGGCTCCGACGGATCTCACTTTTGGCCGATTGACCTGTTTACTTGGAGAAATCAATCGTCGGGCTTTCATAGAGTAAGTAAATTAACCAAATGAAACAAATTAATAACATTTAATGTGAACATTAATTAATCGAATTTTTTTTCTCTTTTTAATATTTAAATCTCTTTAGGAATGGGAATTGTCTCTCAACCAGCTTATCCAAGTATGTGAAACCGGTGGAGGACATACAAACGTTTTTCAAATCGTTTCTCCACCATGGTGTCCATTTCTCTTGGGACTTGGAGGACAATAACGCACCGGTTAATCAATACATTTACTTGGCCATAAAAACGTTGGACCTGATCTTTGTCAACATTGACCGAGCCAAGACAAACCAACCGTTTCTTTCTCGGGCCTCAATGTTGCACATCATCCCAAGTGATAAAAAGACATGGTCTCTAGACCTAATTAAATACATTGGTGTTGACCGGTTAAGTGATTTTGAAAAGGCCCACAGGAAATTAATCAAACAAAAATTGGAGTTGATCCAATTTAATGTGGCCGATTTAAAAATCACCGGTAAAGTTATCTACATTTAGATAACCTAAGTCATAACACCAATTGTATAAAAATAAAAACGTTTTAAGACCGGTATTAAATAAAAATGTTTCAACCGGTAAAATAATAAAAATTTAATCAATTATTTCATTTAAATATTAACCAAAGACGTTAAGAAATTAACAATTAACAGAAGCCTCCATCTATGAGATCTTTTTATTACCAAAATTTGTTTCCAAGAGAAACAGAAAAAGTGATTTTGTTTATTTACTTTTCAACTGATGTCGATTCTTAATTGTTACCGGTTTCCATTAATCTCTTTCTTAGTTGTTGTTATTTAATTTTAAATTTTTTGGTCATTACTTTAAATGGAAACTTCATGTTTAGACGATTTAACTCAGATTAGCTCTTCAAGCATCGTAAGTATAAACACATTTACTATTGTAATGATTCAATTACAGATTTCAATGGGAATTCAAATTTAATTTAATGATTTTCATCGTTAAACTGTCGCTCGGTAATCTCAAGTTGATTTGGATCAATTTTCCTCATTGATTTTTCTGCTCTTTTGCTTATTTAATCTGTATTTGGATTTTCTATTCTCTTTCTCTATTTAGATGTCTTGACTTCAACAATGGTAATGGTCAGTCCAACTCTTGGAACTACATGTATTAATAGATGATCCGATTTTTTGGTCTTATATTCTGGTCACAAATTCAAGGTTACAAAAACAATTTATCCAATCGGAAAAGATTTGTAATCTTTCCTGTGCCCTCATCACTTAATCAACCTTGATGGATTTACCCTCATCTCCACAAATATCAAGTTCATTTCATTGAACATCGACTTCAAAGGAAATCATTTTTTTCTATCATTTAAATTATTCCAATTATCAGTATTAATGTCAATCGGATTGCGATTAGCGTCACGATTGCTTCTCTTTTTCAAGAAACGCTTAATTTCACTATGGAGCGTTCCTGTAACGAGAGTTTCCCGTTTTTGGTACATCACAAAATTGACCTTGAAGAGTTTATTTTATAATCATCATTTGGACTTTGGTTATGCTGCTGATACCCTTTTGGAACCAATTTTCTGGTTCGTTGATCATTTCACCTCTTCCTTGGGACCTTTTTTCGTTAGTATGGTCATCATTTTCTTAACAATTTTCGTGGTCATCGCTTATGCAATTGGTTTACCTTGGTGGTGGAATCAGAGTGTACCCGTTACTCTATTAGCTTTAACCATTGGAAATTATTTATTAGTCAATGTCATTTTCCATTATTACATGGCATTAACTACTCCTCCTGGTCAACCACCTCATGTAAGATTTACCTTAATGGAAAATATTGAATTTTTCTATTCTAAATTAACTCTTCTAATAACTTACAGGATCGTTTACTTATTGAAGTCGTTTCGATATGTAAAAAGTGTATGACACCAAAGCCTCCACGAACTCATCATTGTTCAGTCTGTGATAAATGTATTCTTAAGATGGACCATCACTGTCCATGGCTCAACAATTGTATTGGTCATTTTAACCATCGATTCTTTTTCTCTTTCTGCTTTTTTACTTGGCTTGGGACTATTTTCGTTATGATTTTCGGTTCTTTCATCGCATATGAACATTTCTTTCTAACAACTGATGATCATCTCGATGTTTCAATAGAAAAGGTAATTTTTATCATGCTAACTATCTTTATGATCATTTAATTACAACGTTAATGTTTTACTCCTTAATAATTAATCTCTTCTCATTTGTCTCAGACCAAAATCTCTAAGGAAATAACTAAAGATTCCTTATTGGATTCGGTGATAAATAATTTGGCTTCCATGAAAAATGGAGCAATCATATTTGAATTGCTTCTTACTGTTGGTGTTTTTCTCGCTATCGGTGCTCTTGGTGGTTGGCACGCTAAATTAATCACGAGAGGAGAGACTTGTGTGGAAACTTACATTAATAAAAAGGAGAAGGAGAAATCACTTAAACAGAATACAAAGTTTATCAATCCCTACGACAAAGGTCCCAGAGAAAATTGGAAAATATTTCTTGGTCTAAATAGATCGGACATAAGTATTAGACACATTCTATTACCATCTAAACATTTACCATTGGATGATGGACTTCGGTCACATTAACGGAAAAATCAACTTTACGATTCAATTAATTGTGCCATCAATTCACAAGAAAACAAATCTACATGTATAATCAAACCTTTCACATGCCCAATACTTGGCTGTTTTTTATGTAATCAAGTTAATTTTATATAAGTTTATTCTTCTTCCATATTAAATAAAGTTCATGGATTAACAAATTATACCGTGACTTTTTTACTCCAACACGATTTCAATCTAATTTAATCAAATTTAATTTCATTAGAGTAGAAAGACATCACTAATCTGTTAATTGTAAATACAATGTATCATTTTCTAGTCTATTTCTCTTTTCCATCTTTTTCCATCTCTTTACAGCTCCAGAAGAATTAGTCGAGTTACACATTAAACTTCTCAGAAAAAGACGTAAATATATTCAACGGGACAAATGGGAAAGAGCATTAGTTAAATTTATCTCAGAATATTCTAATGTCGATGCTTAAGAACTCGAAAGATATGGATACAAAAATGTCAATCTCGGTATCAGACTCGCTGCTTTCAAGGTGAGATTTTAAGCCTTTTTCGTCTCTTTAATTTGGTTATCTGACAATTTATGTGACAAAATTTTTATACCTACTGTTTCACTGTTACTCGTTATTTTAGAATCTCCTTGAAGCTCAATTTGATTACAATGCCAAATTTAAAACCGGTATCAATGCTATGGAAGCTCAATCTCTCCGTTTGGCTCCCATAGGAAGGGATATTCATGGTAACCAATATTGGTTTCAACTTGATTCTGAATTTTGTTTAAGACTTTACCGCGAAGAGCCGGATGATGAAAAGTCTTGGATTCTTATTTGCAAGTAAGTTTGAATAGCTTTTGATGTTTAATTGGAACCATTAATTTATTATTCTTTTCTTTTCTTTTTTCTTTTTCTTCAGAAACAAAGTTGATCTCGAGTTTTTAATCTCAAGCCTACAAACACAAACTCTTGACCAACTTAAAGATTCTGCACCAACGGCCGATACGGAGCATAAGGTCCACTTTCTCATTCGACCATAAGCTTATTCCCATTGAAGAATTGAATTGAATTTAACCGATTAAATTAAAGATGAAGTGACATTATCTCATGATAATCATCATTGCCCTCAGTACATCGAGAAAAGAACAGCAATGGACATTCGAAAATACTAAACTGAAAATAAGAACCAAAGATGCAATAGATAATCCAGATAATAGAAAAATTGAAGGAGTAACAAGATAATGGAGAGTTATGGGCTCAAATGAAGGGTCGATTTCGAATTCTCTATTAATACATGAAAATGGTGGTTTGTCGATTTTCAAGCATCTAAATCTGATTTTGTACATAATTCGATTATATATAAGTCCAGCTTCGAAGCTTTGATAGCTTCGATCAGTTATAATTTTGTTTATTATCGGCTGATTTTTTTTATTTATTAGAAAAATCGATTTTGATTTGTATAATGGGCTATTAGATATATGATATGATATAGAGTGTATCTAAAGATCCATCCAAACAGCCAGAATTTTTAACTATTTCCAGAGATGGTTGGTGGTTTATTTCGACCGCTTGGTCAAGCTGCGAAACAGATATTTTTTTCTCAATAGAATCCAGGGTGATTAATTTAGGTGAAAGTTCCCTCGCAGTTGGATGGGGGTCGTTTTGTAAATCGGATAAGCATAGAGAAGTTTCTGGAGCGAAAGGTTTATAATCGTACTTGATAATATCCTCAAGTGTCTCTAATTTCAAGTAATTTATTTGAGCTACTAATCCAGTTTTCAATGACGATGATAATAGTGTACCAAACAATAACAATGAGATCATGAAAAGAACCGAAACTTGAAATGATCCTGGAATGAGAATCAGCGGATTGAAATTCTGAAGCAAAATACATTCGATCTGCATCCAGATAACATCAATAATATTGGTTGATGGTGTTTTTTGTTTAATGGCCAAGACGAAAATAAATGGGAAAATACTGAAAAGGGACAATAATGATAACCAGAACCATGGACCAAATTCAAATATAAATCCAAAGAAAGTTGAATAATCGACATTGACTTTCAATTTATTCTTGTAACCCAAATAACAACCATCTTCACCATCCGTCGAAGCCGTTGTCAAATTAATACCAACACAGTCCAAAGTACTTAAAGGTGTTGGTAAGATAAAATCGACATCACCCACTTGAAGATTGTGTATCGTTTGAGTACATATTCCGTTGTCTGAACATTTAGATCCGATTCGACTATCGATAGGTATATATGTTAAATGAATCTTATTGAAAATAGATGCTAATATCTCTAAAACGTAAGGAGCAAAAATACCTTCAATTGTATTAGATTTTGTTAGATACCAATATGGAATATAATCCCAAGAACCGACTCTTATCGTAACGTTCATAATTGTAATCGATTGTCAATCAATATTATAATAGCACTGGATAGTAACTCAACGATAAAAACTTAAAAACTCAAAATCTGTTAAGAATTACTTTTAATACATGTATTTTTTAAATTTCATTCTAAAAAATGATAACATCAAAGCGTCGATTGTCAAAGCTATTTGATCAATGTAAGTTCGTATGTATATTTTGTCTTCGTGGGTCCATCTCTCAATTCATTAGGTATATTTAATGAATATTGTGTATTAAATTTTGGAATAATATATCAAGTGGATTCATTAATTTTATAGTTTATAAATATATTATTTTATATTTTAATTTTCGTAAGTAATTAACTAATAGTTTTTACTTTGATTGATAAATTGATAATATCATTTGTCATTAAATATACAAAATTTGCTTGATACTCTCCATAAATTATTCAACTCGCTATCGGTTTTGACAACTTAAATCGTTTCACTAGTCAAAAGTAGAGATTTTCATATCTCAAAGTAATTATAATTATTAATACTTTGGAATCAATATATTAATATTAATATCAATATTTTAAATATTGATCTTGATAAACTATGAAGGGTAAATAGGTAAATGTTTTGCCAATAGTTAATGTAAGAAATCTTTATATTAATTTCAAATTGGCGATGTTGATTATATACACTCATAATCTTTGACTCGAAATCCAAAAATGAAAATTCAGATTGCCATTCTCTAGGTAATCAATTTCACTTATTATTTCATATATTTTGATTGACCTGAGGTCAATCAAGTCGATTTTAGCCAATTTAAAAGGTCCGATTTTGACCAAAATCGTCAAAAATTAAGTTAATTAATTCAACAATTAAAAAAATTTTAATTGACGCACTAATTGTTGATTATCATTGTTGATAGTCGACTTAATCATTTAGTCAAAAAAATTAAATTAAAATCTTTTAGAATCATTGAGATGATTAAAATCAAAGATTCGATAATCAAAAACGGACACTAATTATTACTCAACCTAATAATTAACATTACATAGCGATCAACTCGTCAAAAGTTTAAGGACGAAAGGCTTTTTGGGTCTAACTTTTTGGTGAAAGGGTCAATTTTATTTTTTTTGGATAGTCCATTGTTCAAGGTTATACAAAAATACGAATTTAAGGTTCGATTTATCATTATTTCGTTTTTTGGCCTTAAAAATGACCCTCAACAGGAAAAAATCAACAAAAATCTAATGCATAACTTTGAACATTCGAAAATATTAAACTGAAAACCATAATTAAAGATGCAATAGATAATCCAGATAGTAGAAAAATGAATGGAGTAACCAGATAATGGAATGTTATTGGCTCGAATGAAGGGTCGATTTCGAAGTCTCTATTCATGCATGAGAATGGTACTTTGTCGATTTTCAAGCATCTCAATCTGATTTTGTACATGATTCGATTATATATAAGTCCAGCTTCGAAACTTTGATAGCTTCGATTGATTATAATTTTGTTGATTGTTGGTTCGTTATTCTTGTTTATCAAAAACTAGATCTCGATTTGTAGACCGGCCAGTTAGATATGTGGAATGGTTCATGATTTTTTGCTAAGAGTTCGTTCAAACAGCCAAAACTTTTCACTACTCCAAGTGCAGGTTGATAGTTTATCTCAACAGATTGATCTTCTCTTGGCATCACATAGGTTTTCTCAAAAGAGTCTAAAAGTGTCACTTTAGACAAAATTTTGCGCGCCATTGGAGATTTATCGTTCTGAATATCAGGTAAACATTGAGAAATTTCTTGTATGAGTGGTTTATAACCATACTTGATAATGTCTTCAAATGTCTCTAATTTCAAGTAATTTATTTGAGCTACTAAACCAGTTTTCAATGACGATGATAATAGTGTACCAAATAATAACAATGAGAACATGAAAAGAACCGAAACTTGAAATGATCCTGGAATGAAAATCAGCGGATTGAAATTCTGAAACAAAATACATTCGATTTGCATCCAGATAACATCAAAAATATTGATTGATTGTGTTTTGCTTTTAATTGCCAAAAACAAACTGATTGGAAAAATACCAAGAAGAAACAATAATGATAACCAGAACCATGGACCAAATTCAAATATGAATCCAAAGAAAGTTGAATAATCGACATTGACTTTCAATTTCTTCTTGTAACCCAAATAACAACCATCTTCACCATCCGTCGAAGCCGTTGTCAAATTAATACCAACACAGTCCAAAGTACTTAAAGGTGTTGGTAAGATAAAATCGACATCACCAACTTGAAGATTGTGTATCGCTTGGGTACATATTCCGTTGGCTGGACATTTAGATCCTATTCGACTATCTATCGCTACAAATGTCAGATTGATCCCATTCAAAGTTGACGATAACGTCTCTAAAACGAAAGGTGCTAGAATACCTTTAATGGTATTAGATTTCGTCAAGTACCAATAAGGCTTATAATCCCAAGCACCGACTCTTATTGTAAAGACCATTGTAATATTTTCGAAATAATATTATTGTATCTTTGAATCTAATGTCAGTGGTAAAAGTTATTAAGTGAATGTGATTGTCTTTTTCTATCTGTAGATATTTTTTCCATGGGCTCATCTTCCAAGTCATTAAAAACTAATCTATCGATATAACAAATCTCAGAATATGTATCATGCACGAAATTGATTGTATTTAGAAAATATAGGGAAATATTTTTGCACTCTAGTTGATGAATTTATTATTTTTTGGCTACTATCAAGCTCTTACATGGATACATTGTACTAATTAGAAGTTTAAAACTTTAATATACCAAATCAAATGTAATGATATTGATAAACTTTTAGCTGAATAGCCATGCGAACTTACAAAATTTATTTAGGATCTTATTCATTAGTTACAAAACATTAGCTGTATCATTAAAGTTCTTATCAAATTAATTCTGAGAAACTAAAATGGTAATTATCAATACCCTTCCTTTCATAGAGTAATTTTATGAATGTTGATGATGATCCCAATTAGAATTGGTGTCTATAATCTTTCGCAGTTTTGGTCACTATCAAATTACAATAGTATTGAAGGTCCATTGTCTCCTTACCTTCTAGAGATATTATCATCAACGTTCAATGGTCTTAATCTGACATTCGTACCAATCCAAGATGCAATTGGAGGTAAATGTTTCACAAATGGTTCATGTACGAAATCTTTACATTACCTTCAAATTGGTGATGTCGATTATATACTCGCAACATCTCTTAGTGATTTAGACAGTATTGGTATTAATTTGACATCTGCATCAATCGCAGATGAAGCTGGATGTTATTTAGGACATAAAAAGGAGCTAAAATTTAACACTATTCACTCGACATTTTTTGACTTTGTATCTGTATTTGGTCCTTGGTTCTGGTTAACGATATTCTTTCTGATGAGTATCCTAATAAGTATCCTTTACTTTAAGACCAAGCGATCATCCCCATCAATACATATTAGAGACATTTTATGGTCACATTTCGAGCTAATTTCCTGTCAAAATTTAAACTCAACGATTTCATCTCTCAATTCATCTCAATCCCTTTCGCTTATTCTATTTACAATTCTTTTAACTATTGGAATATTTTTTTCTTGTTCATTAAAAACTGATCTAGTAAATTATGTGGATTATTTGCAATTAGAGACACTCGAAGATATTATAAAATATGATTATAATCCTTTTGTCCAAGACACATCTCAATGCTTGATAGAGATTCGAAATGACCCGCGTCAGATATCTCGCACGATCTCAGAAAAATTGTCTGTTTTTAAATGGGACCAAGATAATCATATATATAATTATATCTCGCAGAAAAAGTTTGTAGAGATAAACTTCAGACCGATTCTAGAACTAACTAAAAGCTACATTTGCGTGTCTCAAAGTAAAGATCAACAAAAAGAGCCATATGATGTATCTGATGTTTCGATGTTCAAATCCATTTATATTTTCCTAATCAACAAACAAAAACGTAAAAGTTTTAGTCGAATTATATTTCGACGGAGCTATCGTGCATTTGAAGGAGGTCTTATGTACAATCGAATCGTATATCAAGTACGAATGAAATGTTTTGATCTTCATCGAGCACCTTTAACATGTTTGAATCATGAAAACCAAGTCCAAACTTTAGTCACACCGATAGAATTGAGTTATCATTCAATTTCATTCATTTTTCTGTTATCAGGTATGTTCATCTCGTTCGGTGTCATGTTGTTCGATATTTAGTAAATATAATCATTCTTCTAGATTATCTAAAAGTGATGGATTAACAGGAATTCTAATTGCTTTCATTGGTTTTTTACTTTCACAATTTCATCTCGCGAATGATTGAAGAGAATACAAGTGCATCAAATCATCATCATGTTTAATCATTTATTTTATTAATTGTACACAATTCCCATCATATGACAAGTCCGACAATGTAATCTATTATTGTCAGTGACTCTCAGCTTTCAAGCGTTTTATGAAACAAATCTGTTAATATAACGTAATTACCCTGTACATTAAAGTGTGAAGGAAAAACTTTATTACAATTGTAAAATCAGAAACAAGAAAAACAGAATACAAAGTTTATCAATCCCTACGACAAAGGTCCCAGAGAAAATTGGAAAATATTTCTTGGTCTAAATAGATCGGACATAAGTATTAGACACATTCTATTACCATCTAAACATTTACCACTGGATGATGGACTTCGATCACATTAACGGAAAAATCAACTTTACGATTCAATTAATTGTGCCATCAATTGACAAGAAAACAAATCTACATGTATACCCGGGAATAAAAAAAGCCCATTAAACGCAAGTTAAATGCTTTAATGCAAACGCCATAATTATTCATGTTTTGAATGTAATTAATAGCATAAAATATTGGTAAATAGCATCAAAATTTAGTTGAATATGTCAATATTTGATGTTTCACGCGTAGATTTCTTCAGATTTCGTGTTTTCAGTAATGACCAGATAAATAAAATAAGTGTGAATATGTACGGAAAAAGTGAGTCGGAGCATTTAAAAACTTTAATTCATGCATGAAAATTAATTTCAATTTTCTGAATTTGAGTCGAATTAATCATATTTCATCAAAATAAGCATGATTTCATTGCAAGAATATTTAAAATAAATGGTCAAAACAAGAGAATCATGGTTGGTATTGCTTAAACTTTTTTAATTTGAAAATAAAGAAAATTTTAGACTTGTAACATAAATGAAACTTAACATTTATACTCTTATTGCGGTATTTTTGCACATATCGTAGATGAAGAGGATACGTTTAGTTAATGTTTGATATAATAATAATTAGTTTTGAAGTTGTAAATGAATAAAAAAATTGGATATTTGATAATTTTTGATATGAATGATGAATTTCATGTATGAAAAATATTTGTTGATTGGATTTCATGTAAGAATTGGATATGAAATATTTGAAAATTAACATTTTGAACTTTGCAGATAAATTTTTGGATAGAGATCATGTATGGAAATGTTTTAGGATTAGATTTCATGAGAGAATTTTAAATTTGAGGGATTAGGTGTTAACATTTTGTACTCTGGATTCAGAATGAACAGTTATTATCATATATGGCGCTTGTATTATTCAGGTGATGGTTCTTTTGATAGCAGTGAAATCATCATCTGATTCTGGATCTGGCATGTTGTTTATGCATATAGTTGCGGCTGACAATGGCAGATCTGATAAACTTTGATCTTTCATGGATGAATGATACTTGCTAACGTATTTTACTTGAGTTTGATCCAAATTTATCGTCATTGGTATTCCAAGTTCACGCTGCTTTTGAGCTAAGAGCTCGCGCTGAGCTTTAAGTCTCAACTCTTCTTCTAAAAGTTCTTTCTGTTTTCTTGTATGTTCAGCTCTTTCAAAAGCTTTCCGCTGATTTTCATCCATGATAGTGCCACTTTCAGTTTGTCTTTGTTTTTCTTGTTCATCTTGTTTTTCTTTTTCACATCTTTTCTCTTCTTGTAGTTTCTTTTCCTCTTCATCCTTTTGCCTCTTTTTATGCTCTTTTTGCAGTTTTCGCATATTTTCTTCCTCTTCTTTTTCTTTTCTTTCTTTTTCCCTGGACCGCTCTTCACTTGTAGATACTTGGTTTTGCACCTCACTTTCACTTTTATCTTCATTTTCATCCATGACGAAGTTTGTTTCATTTATGGGAAGATCTAAATCCCATGGTGATCTGATATCTCTGGTAGCCTGGTTGATAGCGTCTTGTACGAACCATTTCCAATTGTTTCCGTCAAGAAACTTTCTTGTAAACACTTTCAAACAGTCTGAAAAAGAAAAACAAGTGAGAATCATGTATGCAAATCGAATGATAGCGAAATTTACCTCTGAGCCGCTGTTCTTCATATTGTGGTAACTCATTACATCTATCTTTTTTCCTGTTTGTTGTTTTCGGGCCAACTAAATAGCGAGAAATAAAGTTTCTACTCCATAACAATCGGCCGATTTCAGTTGCAAGTTTACGTGGCTTTACAATGGAACCAAAATAAATATCTTTCAACTTTGACAATCTTTCCTTGGTCAGGTCATTTACTTTGAAATTTCTGACAGTTTTTCTCCACTGTTCATGCATGGAAAAACAATATTATTAGTTTGTTGCCTGACTTTCATGCGTGAAAACTACTTACCCCATCATTTTCACGTTTCTTTTTGATTGCCTCTACAATTTCATCTTCTGCGATTTTCTTTGAATCTTTTGGCATTTTTTCTTCTTTTACGTTTTTTCCTAACTTTTTCTCGATTTTTTCAACTGATTTCAATATTTTATACATGATTTTTCTGTTTTGTGATAGTTCTTTGAGTATCTGGTCATCTGAATTGGTATCTTTTTTCCTACTTTTGCTTTTCGAAACACTTTCATCTATGAAAAATGAATGAGAAAAAAAAGAATTACGAATTGACCATAAATTTTGAAAACATACCTGAATCATAATCTGAAGATGAGGACGCAATTGAATAAGTAGACGGAGAACTCTCTGAATCTAATAAAAGAATCATGATTAATAAAAAAAAGTAAAATTCAGGCAACAAATGAATAAAATTTACCTGATGATAATTGCTCTGTTTCCAACTTCCGCTTCTTTGCATGAGATACTTTTGCATTTTTAACTTTTGCCATTTTAAACTGATATTCACGAATGTTTTGAACAAGATTGTCACAAATTAACAAAAATACTATCACAATTTTATTGTTGACAAAACTAATTAACAAATTTAATAAATGAATTTATAATTAAACAAAATAAATCAATATGAAAATGGCGACTTCCGATTTCTTTTGATTGATTTCAAGAAAGGAACACATGTTTTTTGCGCATGCTTAGTAGTGATATTGATCTGCGCATGACTGATAAACATACATGAATAATTCATTCATGTATGATAATAAAGAAAGTAAGGTTATTCCGATATTAACGCCAATACATGGATGAAATTAACCAGTTCATATTTTCATCCATGAGTTTTCAATTTATTACTGATTTTCATTCAAAAAATCATCGTTGACATCGGAATCGTTTGTGGTTTTTGTCTTAGTGACTTTTTGTATCTTTCGTTTCTCGTCAATTGGTTAACAACATCACGTACCAACACTCTCCAGATCGCGTTTTCGTTATATTTATTTGTAATTTTCTTCAGAATATCTATGAATCATGCAATTATTATTAGTTTCAGTCATGAACTAGCGTTGATTTAGTTAAACATTTACCTCTTAGCTTAGTTTCCTCTTCATTTGGAATATATTGATTTCTTTCATGCGTGTGTGATGATCTTAACACTGGACCGAGTAAATGTTTAGAACGATATTCCTCGTCCCAAAGTAATTCGGCAATTTTCCTTGGAGGTCCTGTTGCATTGTGTGGCAAATCGCATAGAAACTGTCTGATTTTGGTCATTTTTTCATCATCAACACCATTCACTGTGAATGTTCTGGTACTTCTGACCCACTTATGAAAGAAAGAAAACTTTATTTTCCATGGATGAAATTGTATCTACTTACTTGTCGATCAGATCTCCGTTTCATGATCTTTTCTTCTATGAGTTTTTCCATTTCTTTTTTCCCCTGGCGACTATCATGAATGTTAGTTGTACTTGATTGAAAATTCACAGATCCATCATTCATAACTCTATCAAGCTTTTCATTAACAAACTCGAGTGTTTTGGTGTTTTCACTTATTTTTTTTGAAATCTCAGTCATGAAACGTAAAATTTCATTCATGAAATTTGGGTCACTCTGGGTTTGTTGTTGGGTTATTCCTTGACTACGAAGTTCACGGATGTCATCAATAAGGCGCTTTCCTTAATATATATAAGAACATTATAAAAAACAAATATTGGTGATAAAAACAATGATACTCACTTTGTCGTGGAATCGATACATTAGATGACTGAGAACTTTCAGTGTCAGAATCTTGTATGAAAATAAAAAGACAACGGTTACATTCATGTAATTAACATTATAAAACTTATCTCACCTATTAAAGAGGGCTGTTTCCGTTTCCGTCTTTGCATTATTAGATTAAATTCAACACAATCAAGTCAATTTTTCACTCAAAAATCAATTTATTTTAATGTTTATGTTAAATTATCTCAACTGGAAATTAAATTCAAGATCCGTTTAAGATAATTTTATCTCAGTGTTTATCAAACTCTTATCAAAATGTCCAGTTATGATAAGAGATACAAATTTTTAAAGTTTTTTCGAGATTCCATGCATGAATCATCTTCTGACAGTGAAAACTCAGTGCAAGAAAATGACTACCAGGAAGATTTATCATTTAATTGTGCAAGTTCAGACCATGATCATGAATGTAATTCATTATTTGATGATGAAGTTGAATTAAATGAGACACCTGTCAACGAATTGAAAGATAAAGTCGTTTATGTGACAATTATGAAAATATTAATGACTTCAGGATTATCAGCTAAAAAACGTGAAACTATTTATCAACTAATACGCTTCGTTGAGAAATCACAAATGGAAAAAGAATTACCGAAAACATTCAAAAAGTTACGCAAAGTTATAGATGTGGAGCCAATGGATTACTTGTGTAAGAAATTTTGCTCAAAGGAAAATGACTTCATAGAAAATGATGAAGATTCATGTATGGAAACACATGGTGATTTATTCGTTTTCAATATGAAAAAAACTTTAGAGCTCCTTCTCAGAAGAAATTATGAAATTCTACAGAGTGTTTCATGTATGAAACAACCATTTACCCAATCTGATTTCTATCGAAAGCTATGGTCTGACTTTGAGGAAGATGTTGATTTTAAAGTAACACTTATCATCAACAATGATGATGCACGATTAACTAAATCAACTAAGACGTTCATCACACCTTTGTCTTTTCAATTGGCTGAACTTCCAATGAAACATAGATGTAACTCAAGAAACATTGGTCTTTCTGCTTTCTGGTGTGGCGAAGCTAAAATTTCACATGAACAACTTTGGCAACACGGTTTCATGCATGAATTGCAAGGTTTATTAGACAGAGTTAATCATTTCATGTACGAGCAATTAGAGTACACATATGCAGTAAAAGTGGGCCTGATAGTAATGGATAGTGTAGCGAAAGCCAAATCGCTAAATATAAAACAATTCAATGGCTTTTTTGGCTGTCCATATTGCTTTGAGCCTGGAAAGACTGTCATAATCAATGATAGATCACGTAAACATGTTTATCCATATAAAGATCCGTCTGAATTCATTATGAGAACTCATGATTCATACATGACTAATGCAAGAAAAGCGGTTAGACATAATCGTCCAGTTAAAGGAATCAAAGGCCCTACAATCCTTACGCGAGTAATTGACTTGCCATCCCAGGTACCCATCGATTGGATGCACTGTGTTTTACTAGGAGTTTTTAAGCAACTTCTATCAACCAAGCCGTTCTGCGACAAAAAAGTAATTGAAAACACTTCGAGAAAACTCAAAAGTATAAATTTCCCGCATGATTTTAAGCGAAAACCTGATACCTTGTATGAATTGAAGCTGTTTAAAGCAAGTGTGTTCAAAATATGGCTTTTTCTCTTACCACCATTGTTCAAACATGAATTATCGTCCGAATATTTAATTCTCTTATTGACTCTTTCAGTTGGAGTAAAAACACTTTGCAAAGAAAGAGTCAATCTGCATGATATCAGGCTTTCTCACACACTTCTCAATGCTTACATTTTGACACACCAAGAAGTCTTTTCACTTTCATCTATGAATCCCAATCTTCATTTCTTGCAACATTTATCATCCATGGCTGCAGAATTAGGGCCAATCACAAATTTTTCTGCGTTTCCATTTGAAGGATTCATATATGAATTGAAAAAACCAATAAATGGGACTAGAGGATTCGGTCAACAAATAGTAAATGCATATATAGATCAGAAGCAAAGAGAACATTTTGATTCATACATGGAATTTAACAGTAGCAAAATTCCAGAAAGTCTTCATAGAAGAATCACAGGTTATTCATGTTTGATAGATGAATTGACTCAATATACAGAAAATGATCAAATGAGGATAAGACTGCTGAATTCGAGAGATATTTCACCTACACAAAGTAATATCTATTATACCACGAGTAGATTAAGGTATAAAAATTGTGTTTATCATGCTCGAGATTACAAGAAAAAAAGAAAATCAGCTAGTTTTATTGTATCTTTCACGGATGAACATGATCAAAAACAGTTTGGAACAATCGAAAAATTTATCATTTCTGATAATGATTCAATTAACCTCAGTGACTGCTTTGCTATTGTGAAAACATACAAAAAACATAAGCGACCGAGTTTAACAACATCTGAAAATCCATCGTCCGCTCTATTAACTTCAATTATCCCTACATTGTCAGACATGTACCCTCTTGTTTCTTCTCAAGAAATTACCAATGTAATACATGTTTGCCAAATTAATTGTAAAATCATTTTAATTCCAGTCACTGATCAGCCGAATAATTTTTGGGTGTCAGAAATCGATTTCAATTTTGAGCATAATTAAAAGCTACTTCTCATTCATGAATTCCAAGTTTTCCTTGAACTATTTTACCTTCAACGCGTATGTGTAAGCTTGAAAATTGTACATTTCTATTCTTTTTCATATATGAATTTCTACAGAATTGTGAGGAAAAATACATGAAAGATTGAAAAATTTTCAAAGCATTAAACTCAATTCAAATCCCGTTTCATATTATGTATCAAGCATTCAGAAATGTGTCTTAATACGTTAATATTCAAACGGCGTTTAATGTGACTTTCTGTTACCCGGGTAATCAAACCTTTCACATGCCCAATACTTGGCTGTTTAATTTTGTATAAGTTAATAATTCTTCCAGATTACAAATAAAATTCATAGATTAACAGGTCGAGTTATTTTCATCTCTTTACAGCTCCAGAAGAAATGTTCGAGTTACACATTAAACTTTTCAGAAAAAGACATAATAAATTCAACGGGACAAATGGGAAAGAGAATTAGTTAAATTTATCTCAGAATATTCTAATGTCCATGCTATGGAAGCTCAATCTCTCCGTTTGGCTCCCATAGGAAGGGATATTCATGGTAACCAATATTGGTTTCAACTTGATTCTGAATTTTGTTTAAGACTTTACCGCGAAGAGCCGGATGATGAAAAGTCTTGGATTCTTATTTGCAAGTAAGTTTGAATAGCTCTCGGTGTTTAATTGTAACCATTAATTTATTTTTCTTTTCTTTTGTTTTCTTCAGAACCAAAGTTGATCTCGAGTTTTTAATCTCAAGCCTACAAACACAAACTCTTGACCAACTTAAAGATTCTGTACCAACGAGCGCTACGGAGCATACAAGAGAAAATGATGATAGAAATTTCATTTTTCCAATCAACAGTATAAAAGATGAACAATATGAAAAAGAAAGGTCCACTTTCTCATTCGACCAAAATTCCCACTGAAGAATTGAAAAGTGAAAACTCTAGTGAATTAACTGATTACATTAGAGATGAAGTGACATTATCTCATGATAATCATCATTGCACCCAAAGCATCGTGAAAAGTTAATCATTCGAAAATATTAAGCTGAAAATCAGAACCAAAGATGCAATAGATAATCCAGATAATAGAAAAATTGAAGGAGTAACAAGATAATGGAAAGTTATTGGCTCGAACGAAGGGTCGATTTCGAATTCTCTATTCATACATGAGAATGGTAGCTTGTCGATTTTCAAGCATCCCAGTCTGATTTTGTACATAATTGGATTAAATATAAGTCCAGCTTCGAAACTTTGATAGCTTCGATCAGTTATAATCTTGTTTATTGTCGGCTGATTTTGCTTATTTATTAGAAAAATCGATTTTGATTTGTATATTGGGCTATCAGATATATGGTATGATATAGAATGTGTGTCAAAAGATCAATCCAAACAACCCGTCATTTTAACTGCTTCTAAAGCTGGTCGGTAGTTTATTTCGACCGCTTGGTCGAGCTGTGAAACAGAAAATGTTTTCTCAAGTGAATCCAGAATGGTTAATTTAGATGAAATTTCCCTTGCACTTGGATGAGGATCGTTTTGTGTATCGGATAAACATTGAGAAGTTTCTTGAACAAAAGGTTTATAATCGTACTTGATAATATCCTCAAATGTCTCTAATTTCAAATAATCTATTTGAGCTACTAATCCGGTTTTCAATGATGATGATAGTAATATACCACACAATAACAATGAGAACATGAAAAGAGCCGAAACTTGAAATGATCCTGGAATGAGAATCAGCGGATTGAAATTCTGAAGCAAAATACATTCGATCTGCATCCAGATAACATCAATAATATTGGTTGATTGTGTTTTGTGTTTAATGGTCAAGACGAAAATAAATGGGAAAATACTGAAGAGGGACAATAATGATAACCAGAACCATGGACCAAATTCAAATATAAATCCAAAGAAAGTTGAATAATCGACATTGACTTTCAATTTCTTCTTGTAGCCCAAATAACAACCATCTTCAATTTCAATAGCAGCGGTGGTCAGGTTAGTACCAATACTGTCCAAAGCGCTCAAAGGTGTTGGTAAGATAAAATCGACATCACCAACTTGAAGATTGTGTATCGCTTGAGTACATATTCCGTTGTCTGAACATTTAGATCCGATTCGACTATCGATAGGTACATATGTTTGATGAATCTTATGTAAAATGGATGCTACCATCTCTAAAACGTAAGGAGCAAAAATACCTTCAATTGTATTAGATTTTGTTAGATACCAATAAGGAATATAATCCCAAGCACCGACTCTTATCGTAACGTTCATAATTGTAATCGATTCTAAATCAATATTAGAACTGGATAGTAGCGCAAAACTATTCACCTTAGTAATTTTAAAGTTTCATTCTAAATCACGTTAATATCAAAGTGACGACAATCAAAGCTATTTCAGTAATGTATTGATGCTATCAATAGTTTAGTTGAAAGTTCGTATTTATTATTAATACATTTTGTCTTCCAAATTACATTTTTATTCGTGGGTCCATCTCTTAGGTCATTAAGAAATATTTTATAAATTAATTTTTGGAATATATCATTCAAGTTTTCAACTGGATTGTATTCATTAATCTTATTTAGAGTAATTAACTAATAGTTTTGTACTTAGATTGATAAATTGATAGTATCATTTGTCATCAAATGTCCAAAATTTGATTGATATTCTCCATATATTATTCAGTTTCGGTTATATCGGTTTTGATAACTTATATTGTATCACTATTAGTGATTCACTAATCAAAAGTAGCAACTATCAAAGTAATTAAATATTGATCTTGATAAACTTTTATTTAGCTAAAAGTTTGTTATAGTGCGAAAGAAACTTGCTAATTAGAAATTTTGTAATTAACTAGTATTAAAAAAATTAGATGAATCAATCAGTATTGTATCAATTTTTCATTCAATAAATTTAGAAAACGAGATATAGTAAGTGTCATTAAATTTTAACAAGTTAAGTGGTATGAGTTTAATTAAAAAGATTTTCTAATGATTCCACTTAGAATTGATGTTTACAATAATGCGAAATTTTTGACATTATCCAATTCAAACACTATTAACGGTTCTGCGGCTCCTTATCTTCTAGAGATATTATCATCAACGTTCAATGGACTAAATATGACATTCGTACCAATCCAAGATCCAATTGGAGGTAAATGTTTCGCCAATGGTTCATGTACAAAATCTTTACATTACCTTCAAATTGGTGATGTCGATTATATACTCGCAACATCTCTTAATGATTTGGATAGTATTGGTACTAATTTGACATCTGCATCAATCGCAGATGAAGCTGGATGTTATTTAGGACATAAAAAGGAGCTAAAATTTAACACTATTCACTCGACATTTTTTGACTTTGTATCTGTATTTGGTCCTTGGTTCTGGTTAACGATATTCTTTCTGATGAGTATCCTAATAAGTATCCTTTACTTCAAGACCAAGCGATCATCCCCATCAATACATATTAGTGAAATTTTATGGTCACATTTCGAGCTAATTTCCTGTCAAAATTTAAACTCAACGATTTCATCTCTCAATTTATCTCAATCCCTTTCGCTTATTCTATTTACAATTCTTTTAACTATTGGAATATTTTTTTCTTGTTCATTAAAAACTGATCTAGTAAATTATGTTGATTATTTACAATTAGAGACACTTGAAGATATTATAAGATATGATTATAATCCTTTTGTCCAAGAAATATCTCAATGAAGGAATGAAATTCAAAACGACCAGCATCAAATCTCTCGCACGATCTCAGAAAAATTATCTGTTTTCAAATGGGAAGATAAAAGCATATCTGACTTGTATCGATACATTAATAATAGTATTTCCCGGAAAAGGTTAGTGGAATTAAACTTCCAACCGATTTTAAAAATAGTTAAAAATTATGGTTGCAAACATGGGAGCAAATATGAACTAGCTGAGCCATATGATATATCTCAAGTCCCTTTGTTCAAATCAAGATATATTTTCCTGATCAACAAACCGAAACGGCCAAGCATCAGTCGAATGATATTTCAACGGAGCTATCGTGCATTTGAAGGAGGTCTTATGTACAATCGGATCGTCTATCAAGTAAGATTGAAATGCTTTGGTCTTCATCGAGCACCTTTAACATGTTTGAATCATGAAAACCAAGTCCAAACTTTAGTCAATTGAAATTGAGTTATCACTCAATTTCATTCCTTTTTCTATTATCAGGTATATTCATCTCGTTTGGTGTCATGTTGTTCAATATTCAGTAAATATAATTATTCTTCTAGATTATCTAAAAGTCTTGGATTAACAGGAATTCTAATTGCTTTCATTGGTTCTTTACTCTCACAATTTCATCTCTCGAATGATTGAAGAGAATACAAGTGCATCGAATCATCATCATGTTTACTTGTGTTTATTTGATCAATTGTACATAATTCCCATAATATGACAAGTCCAACAATCTAACCTATTCTTGTCAATGACTTGATTTTGGAAACAAATCTGTTAATATAACGTGCTCGCCCTGTACATTGAAATGTCAAGGAGAAACTTTATTAAAATCAGAAATCGATTTTGATTGAAATTAACTTTTTGGGACTAAGAATCAATAGAAGATCTTTGAATGCAACTGAGCCTAGAACTTGAATTAACTCGCGTCCAAGATTGATGACCTTTTGTTTGGCGATTTTAGGTCTGACACCTTTCTTTCGGTTAACTACTCCATCGGAAGGAGCCGGTTGTTTGTAAATGTAGACATGATTATTTGAATCAACAATGAAAGAATAATCAAAATCAAGTGAACAGTTAAAAAATCTTTTCGATTCCTTGGAAGCTTGAACATAACCCAAGGCTGAAAATGTAGCGATATGTTCAATATGAAATCGAGATCCTTTAACCTTTGGTTGCCAAATACAAGCATCAACATCATGTCGCAGTGAGAAACAGGGTAATAAACGATTGTCCAGTTTACGACTAAATAACCATTGATGTCCAGTAAGATAAGATTGATGAGTGATAATATGTCGATGACAATTAATACGGTAAAGAGTTAAATCTTCAGCAACTTCATCACATTGTTCATTACCAAAGATTGAAGGAATATCACTTGATTCATTTATCTCGGAGTAGCGAACAATCAATGAATTCAACCCTTCTAACGTTCTTAATTGTTCACTTTCAATTGGTAAATGAGATCCTTGTTCTTTTCCTTTAAACAGCTGATCCCAAATTTGATTCTTATTCTTTTTGATTAGATATATTTCGATAATGGGAATGTCATCTTTCCTCAATCTTTCATATTTCCAGCAACTTAATTCTTTGTCGATTTGTGCCCAAAGAGTTTCCTTAAAGACTGTTTCTCCTTTTACTCGAATTTCAATCTCATCGATTCCCAAAGTAACTTCTATGTGTTTCACTTGAATATCCAGAGGAAATTTGAAATTAACTGTTAACTCTTTTTCATCCTGAAAATAGAAATAAATATTTTCTCTCTCATCGTCTTTGTCCATCTCATCTTGACCATCACAATTTGCTGCTGGTTTATCAAGAGAGTCAAATGTTAATCGGAATGGATTTGGAGATACAATTGTCATGAACAATACTCCATTTTTATCAGTATCAACACCGATATATGATGGGTAAGATGGTCCAGTTAATTGTTGAAATCTCTCAATTGTCCAGTTTGATGATCCATTTGTGTCCATCTTTTGATTAGCTAAATGTAAACAATTCAATCGACATTCAAATTTTTCTTGATCATTTTTTTCAACTGTAAGGATAATCACTTTCAATTTATCTGAATCATCTCTTGAATGGAAATTACTGTCAATTAATTTAGCAGGACAAGTTAATTGTTTGGCTAATTGATCTCCATTCTTCCAGCATAATCCAAATGAAGCTTCATGGGACAAATTGATTGTTTTAACAACAGTCCAATTGTGAGCCTGTATTTGTCGGTGGCCAGTGGAAACAATCAACAAGGATAAATGTCCATCAGCTTGACCAACAGTTGAGCTTAAATGAGAAGCACAATTAAAATACCAATCAATAAACTAAACCATCTTAATTAACTTACCATGTAGAAACCAGAATCAAAACAAACTCTTCAGATGGGAATGATAATGTTACCATACATTCATTGGCTTGGTAATTGTTGGTTGGTACTTTGAATACACAAACCGGTGGATTAATCAAATTACTCGATTGATCAATTTCAACACTTAAGACATTAAGTTGATTGTCAACATAATAACACTCTGATTGTAGACCATTAAAAGGATCAGTGAACAAACAATTGAAATCATTTGAAAAAGCGGAAAAATGGAGGAAACTGTAAAGTTGTTTATCGGGTAAAGTAAATTCACTGGCAGAATTTGGCAAATCAATAGATTGTTGATTAACCTCTTGATTAGCTAAATAGTAAGTCTCAAATTTTGGGTCAATTAAAGCCCTGTTAACATCTAATTTAATTGTTTCTGTCATGATGATGATTAGATGGAAACATTAACAGTTAACTTTGTTAAACAAAGTTTGTTTACTAAATTCAAACAGAAAAATCTAGTTACCAAGGCAACCGAGTAGAAATTGTTTCTAATTTAAATTTTGATTGTGACGCTTCATTTTCCTTTAATTGTTGAAAAGTTTTCACAATTCATCCAATCTGAATTGGCTCAGAATTCAATTTTCACCGATATCATGATATGGACGTTTGTAGTTATATAATAGAAAATGAAAACAAAGTAATTTCAACGAGCAAAGTTTAACTTTATTATTGAAAATTTACTCTGATTACACTTAAAGTATCAGAATATCAATTACATGTAATTTGATTAACTGTTTATCATCGAGAATATCAAACGGGTGCAATGGTTGGTGCTTGTGTTAGTTTACAATCGCCTCGGGTGATTTCAACTTGGTTATTTAGTGGTACTAAGATTCTGTAAGTACATTCCTCTGGAATTGTCTGTTAACAATTAAATTGAGTCAAATAAAATAAATTTTGTGATGAACATTTTGTTTAATTAGGTAGATAATTAACTTACGTTTGCTGATAAATTACAAGTTTTTCCGGTAATATTGGACTTGGCACAATCGGTGAAACCAACGATAAAAGTGATCTCATAATTAGATCCAGCGACAACTTGAGCTTGAGCATTTTGAATTCTAACTAATTTCTTATAATTAGCGCTGTTGGAAATTTGATTGTGATATTCAACAGCCTTGGAGGTTAAATTAACTACCTGAGGATCATCTATAGACACGGGGAAGAAACCACCGGGCACAAAACAATTGGCTGCACCAATAAGACACAAAGCGATAATGATAATATTTTTCATTCTAAATGAATAAAGTTTCAACAAAGAGTATAAGTTAATTGTTACTAGTAAATTGATTGATAATTAAGTAGCTTTTGGTAATATTAACAGGTAAATATAAAGGGTTTACTTTATCAGTCAATCAGTGAGTTTTGCGTTTAGTAAACTCTTATTGCGATATTATAACGAGAGAGTTTTGTTTGTCTCGTCAATCATAAAGGTAAATTACCTTGATTAATTAACCTTGATTAACTAATCATCGATGGTAACACATCAAGTATTGGAAATTTCAAGTGATCGGATGATCAATTAAGACGAAACCAAACAGTTTTTACACTTGAAAACATATCGAATTGATAATTATTGTCAACAACTATTATTAATAGTATCATGTTGTTGATTCTTTATTAAATTATCACCATTGACTCAAAAATGTTTGTTAGTCATTCTAGTCTCGTTATTGCTATTCAGAAAAGAAAATAAAACTTATTTAAACATGCATCTTGGAATGAAAGATGAATGATTATTACTCAATTCTTAGCCTTTTCGAACCTTTCTGAATGACAATGATGCATAAGATAAACACTTAGATTAAGGATAAAAAACGACGGATAAATTATACTGTCTCAATTACTATGAGACTCGAGATATTAAATATACGAGTTAATGAATATGAGCAATTCTCAGTTGTGTTTTTGAGAGGTCAAGGTAATTGAGAATCTCGAGAACGGGTTTTCAACAAAAAGAAACTGAAAGTCAATGTCGATTATTCAAATTTCTTTGCGTTCAAATCTGAATTTTGTACTGGTAATTTTTCCTTCCCTCAGTATTTTCGTCTTTACAGTCAAACAACAGTTACCATGTTGATGTGTGAAGGAAGACAAAGAAGACAAATAAATAAAGGAGACACTTCGAGCTTTGTCTGAGGAATAATTCTGATTACAGAACAATTAGAAAAATACAGGGCTATTCAACTATCACTCGGCAACCATGATCCCTAGAAACTCAAAACTTGAATGAAATGCTCGATTGAAAGACCGAGGGCCTTGATCCAAGATCATTGAAATCATTTAGTTCCTGGATTATTATATTAATATTGTTGGTTTTAGTTGGAAAAACACAATTAAATCTAATTAAAACTGTTAATCAAATTAACTCTTCTTCTTGTTATAAGAAGGAAACACTCAGATCTAAACAAAGAAAATGAAAAATACACTAAGAGATGTTATCTCTTCAATTGTCATCAACTAAAGACAAGGTTTATTAGTTTGGGTTCGGTTTAAATACTGTGGATTGGTCGTTACAAAGATTTGAATCAAATGACCCAATTGGTCAATATTTGGGTTTGGTTATTTTTGGCGGTTGAAAGTGTTGTTTGTGTGTGTGTACGTGAGAGAGATGAGAGGAGATGAAGAGAAAGAAGATAAGATGAGAGAGAGTAACGTGAGTGACAGTTTGGGGCACAAAAGAAAAGAATAAGTAAAATGGTAAAACTTAGTTTACCCTTTGTCGGTCAGCTAATGGGCAGGGATGGTCATTAGTTGGTTGATCATCTCAATAATTATTGGTAATTATAATAATAATAATAATATAAAATAATAATTAGGTTAGAAAGAAAGAGATGAAAGTAATTAAGAAAAAATGATTAACTTAATTGTTGGGAATCGACCAAATGTTAAGGCTCATATCTCAGAGACTAATCAACTCATATTAATGATTAGTATGTTGGTCGATTCTATGTTTAATTGTCTTTCTAACGATACCCTATTCATGTCTTAATTGTAATGATTTCATCAAAATTATCGTGTGTGCGAAAAGTTTACTTGAAGCTAAATTATTAATGAAAATTTAAGGTTTTTGGTTAATTGCTCGAGAACCAAATGATCAATCAATTATCTTAATATACGAATCGATTGCAATTAATGAGCTCTACAAGATGATTACATTACAACAAGTGAAAAGCTAATGGGCGCGAAAAGATGGCGACAAACTAATGAGTTCCCATGTTAAGTGAATGGGAGAAAATCGAAAAGTTAAAAACGTTTAAATTAATATAATAAACGATTAAATTGTTAATAATTAAGCTTAAATAAGCGCGAATTAAGCTTATATAACCAACACTTCCCCTTGCACCAAACGTAACTCAATTAATATTTAAAAAGTCACAACACTTTCTTAATGAAGGTGAACACAAACACTTTGTTAGCATATCAGCAGGTTGTTTATCGGTGGGGATGAACTGAACTTTTATCTCTCCTCTTTCCTGATGATCTCTGATGAAGTGGTAACGGACATCGATGTGTTTGGTCCTCTTATGAAAAACTGAATTTTTTGTTAATTTGATTGCTCCTTGGTTGTCACTCATTATCTTTACTGGAGAATCAATTGGAACTTTTAACTCTTTCATTAATTGACGATACCAAATAACGTCTTTAAGACAATCAGCGATAGCAACATATTCAGCTTCGGTTGTCGACTGAGCGACACTTCGTTGTAACCTCGAAGCCCATGAAATTGGTGAGTTGCCAAGAGTAACACAAAAACCAGAGGTCGACTTCCTGGTATCAATATCGGCGGCATAATCAGCATCACAGTAGCCAATTAACTGTAAATTTGAAGTCGTGGCTGAATAGGTTATCCCACAATTAATTGTTCCTTTTAAATAACGAAAAATTCGTTTGATTGCTTTCCAGTGACTTTCGTCGTAGCAGCAATTAAATTGGCTCGATTTATTTACCATGAATGTAATATCTGGTCGACTGATGATCGACAAGTACAAGAGAGCACCAACAGCTTCTTGATATGGAAAATTAGTATCAGGTGGTTGATTTGATGATGATAGTTTATGATTAGTATCACCTGGTGTTGATAACGGTTTACACTGATCCATTTTGAATCTTTTTAAAAGATCATTAATGTAACTTGATTGTTTAATCTTAATTGTTGATTTATCATCACTCTGATGTATTTCCATCCCAACGAAAACTTTAGGGGGATGAACTTTAACTTCAAAAGTTTCTTTTAGTTTATTAATTAACCTTGTTAATTGTTGTTGATTATTACTCGCAATCAAACCATCGTCAACATATACAACACAAATTGTTATTCCATCATTAAAATTAACAAAGCAACATTTATCAGCATCACATTGGTGAAAATTTAAGGTTTTGAAGAAATTGTTTACCTTCTCGTTCCACTGACGAGGTGCTTGTTTTAAGCCGTAAAGACCTTTTTTCAATTTTAAAACTCGATTGGTTCCATCTTCGAATCCGGGTGGTTGAGCCATGTAAATTTCTTCATTTAATTCACCATAAAGAAAAGCTGTTTTAATATCGAACTGCAGTAGCTCCATTTTATAAGCAGTAGCAATTGCTAGAATAGCTCGAATCGTATCATAACGAGCAACGGGACTAAAAGTTTCGAAGTAATCGATTCCCGCCTTTTGCGAAAAACCTTTGGCTACAAGTCGAGCCTTGTAATGGTCAACTGTACCGTCCAAATTTCTTTTAATACGATAAACCCAACGACATGATATTGATCTTTTCCCTTCAGGTAAATCCATTAACTCATAAGTATCGTTGCTTTTAATTGAAGACATTTCATCTTTCATCGCATTTATCCAATCAACATTATCAGGTGAATTAATTGCTTCTTCATAATTAACAGGTTCACAATTAGTAACTATTGATTGAAATACAACATTTTTTATCCAATCATTTAAGTCAACATCATCAGGTGGATGTTCATAAATTTCAGTTGTTTCACTACAATTATCATCAAAATCAATTTCTTTTTCATTTTCATCAATTGAACACTTTTCTTCCAGATCAATTGGTTCATCATCAACAATTTCATCTATCATTTTCTCAGCATCATAATCATCATCTATGAATTTAATATTAGCTGTAACATTAACTTTGTTTGTTACAGGGTCATAGACACGGAAATTGTTACTCGTTTTAGTGTAACCAACGAAGATACACTTTTTGGCTTTCGGATCCCACTTCTTCCGGAAACTATCGGGAATTTTGATCCAACAGATACTACCAAAGGGTCGAAGGTGAGTAAATTTTGCTTTTTCTTTTGTGAACATTTCAAGGGGAGTCAATTTGCGTTGACCTTTACTCGGAATCATATTCAGCACATATACAGCAGTAGCCATTGCTTCTGCCCAAAGGAATTTAGGTAAGTTATTAGCTAACAACATTGATCTAGCTAATTCGGTGATAGTTCGATTCTCTCTCTCAATACGACCATTTTGTTCTGGTGTATAAGGTGCACTCAGCTCATGTGTAATATTATTATTGTTAAATAAAATTTTTACTCTAGAATCGATAAACTCTTTACCATTATCAGTTCTGATAATCTTCACCTTGTTTCCAGTCATTTTCTGTGAAGTTTTCAAATGAATCAGATTTAAATCGTTGAAAATAAACACCTCTAAATGAACTTCGTTCATCTTTAATAACTAATGCTAATTTACTTCCATTCAGTGATGGTTCACTCATTGGTCCCTGTAAATCACAATGTAAAGCTTGACCAACTTCAACCTCTCTCGGTGTTACCGATTTAAATGATTTCTTAATCATCTTACCCTTAATACAACCTTCACAGGTAAACTCACTTGGCTCATAATCCAACTTAATCTTCGGTAAGATTCCATCTTTCGACATTTGGATTATCTTATAAACATTAACATGAGCTAACTTCTTATGCCAAGAACTCAAAGTATCAACTTTGGCAACATTAACAACATTTTCATCAATTTCTCTTAATTTAATCATCAATTTAAAAGTATTACCAAATTTCTGAGCAACAATTACGATCTTATCAGTTTTAATATCGAAAATTACTGTTGATTTTGGGGTTGATTTCAAACCGAAACCTTTAGTTACAGTTTGTCCCCATGAAAACAAATTGAAGTTCCCAAGTTTAGGAACAAACAAAACGTTTTCTAATTTACATGGAATCCATTGTAATCCATTATAACAATCAACTAACACATCACCTTTCGCTTGTCAATTGAATTGGTTCATCTAAATAACTAAAATTAGTTAAGCAATTAATATTACCGGTAAGGTGATAAGAAGACCCGGTATCGAGAAGCCACTGATCACAATTAACTTTTTCTTCCTTAATTGTTAAAGAAAAATTATCACTCTTTTCATTTGAATCTTCAT